GAAGTGGCCAAAGATGGACAGATTTTTCTCTGCTAACAAGAACTGGGAAAATGTAGACTAAGAGCTCTCCACTGTAGCCAAGAAACGCGACCACACACTGTTCGTTTTATTTTCTTGTTTCCAGCCCAAGGCAATTGGCCAAGGTTATATTGTGGAGTGTTATCTCATACATATACGCTCATACACACACGCGCGCGCACACACACACACACACACACACACACCACACCTTGAAGATCACTGTAACAGGACAGAAAGCAGCAGGAATGTGGAGACCTCCTGAGTACACAGAAGGTTCTAGTTGTACTGCCCTCAGGGATGGCACACAGCAGAGGGCAGCCTTCCTGTGCAGGCTGATCTGTCAAATGGAGGGTTGAAAACATCATCAGTGATGAGCACGGGGCTCCCTACACCTAACAGGTAGGTGTTGTTTGTGCAATGAGCAAACACATTCTTTTTTTTTTTGAGGTCAGTTGTGGAGCTTGAACTCAGGGCTTGGGTGCTGTCCCTGAGCTTTTCTGCTCAAAGATAGTGCTCTACCACTTGGAGCCACACCTCTATGAGGGATGAGTCTCACAGACTTTCTTGCTTTGGCTGGCTCCAACCATGACGCTCAGATTTCAAGTAGCTAGGATTACAGGCATGAGCCACCAGCACCCTGCTGCAAACACACATTTGAAGTAGGGACAGTCCCTCTACCAGCTCTAGAAATAGTTAAGGAGTGGCCTTTGCTATGCAGAACTGACTCAGTCAGCCAGATGTTCATACCCTAAACTGAAGGGCTAGCACTTCTGGGAGCAGCTATGTGTGTGTGATGAATTCCCTATTGAGCACCGCACGACTCCTAGACCAGGTACCCACACCTCTTGGGCAAATCACTCCATTGAAAGTCTTTGGCTTTCTGTCAGCATTGTGTCAATCAATCTTGGTGGCTAAAACCAAGTCCAGGTGGGATTTTCCCTCCTGATAGCTGACAGTAAGAACTGGAGGCCAACGGTGCCATTCTAAGTGTAATGACATAATTCAGGGATGTCAAGAGTATATTAGAGGAGGACCTGCTTTTTTTTTTCTTTTCTTTTCAGTCTGAAGTGCTTGCAGCTGGCTGAACTGCTGTAATCTCCACTGCTAGGAGTTGGAGATGGGGAGGATTTTGGTTCTGGGCTAGACCAGTCAAAAAGTTAGTGGGACTTCATCTCAATAAGGAAGCCGAGTGTGGAAGTCCATACTTTCAGCTACATAGGAGACATAAATAGGAAGGCTATGTAAGTCGAGACCTGGCTAAAACACCAGATTCCTTTAAAAAATGAAAGCACGAAATAGTAGGGATGTGGCTCTAGTTGTAGAGTACCTACCTAGTGAAGTACGAGGTCCTGAATTCAAACCCCTAGACCACAGAAAAGAAAAAAGAATGTAAAGAAAGAAAGAAAAGGGGTACAGAGGAAGGGAGAGAAAGGGAAAAAGGAGCTGGGCACTCGTGGCTCACGCCTGTAATCCTAGCTACTCAGGAAGCTGGGATCTGAGGATCTCAGTCCAAAGTCAGCTCTGGCAGGAAAGTCTGAGAGACTCCTATGTCCAATAAACTACTCAGAAAAAACTGGAAGTGGCGCATGGTTCAAATGGTAGAGAACTCACTTTGAACAAAAGAAGTTCAAGAATAGCATCCAGACCATGAGCTCAAACCCCAGCATATACAAAAGATTTATCCTTTTTTACTGCCCTGTTCTCAGTCTGTGTTTGCATTGTAGTGACCAGAAAATCACCTTAGCAAGATCATTGCTATGAAGTCTACTCCTTTAACACCACTAACACACACACACACACACACACATACACACACACACACAAAGAAAAAGAAAAAGGAAAAAGAAAGACTAAGCTTATGTTAATACCAAAACAAAGGAGCTTTAGCAAGAAGGAAAACTGGAAAGGATCACAAGACCCCAGGCCACAGGGCAGAGTTAAGCTCCAAGGAATCTCATACTCGTGCGCCGCCGCCTGGGAGCTGGGGTGGGTTAAGCTTTGTGGACCAAGTGCTCTAGCCCCAGTTGTATTAGAGCTGGAGGTGAGAACTGTTTGGTAAATGAAGTGAGATTTCAAGGAATTGCTAAGCTTGGGTGCCCTGGGGCCTCAAGGAGCCCATCTGTTCTACTAGCTGAATTCAGAGCCATTCAAAAGGGATTATTACAATTCATGTTGACATGTCCAACAGGAATAGCATACCTCAGTCTTCTCTCCTCAAAATGAAAGGGTTTGTGAATCAATGGATATAGGGAACGAACACCTTGTGGTATTTCCAGACTAGGCACAAGTGTTCTGGCTCCAACAACCCCCTCTGGTAGGTTACAGCCCCTTGCAGCTGTTAAAGTGGCTTCTAGACATGTGCCTGCCAAAGCTAGGCCAAGTGTTTTCACAACCGAAGAATCAAACGATACTTCTGATCAGGGCCCACCCCTTCTACCCACTCTATCACTGCGATCTACTGAGCAGCTGTCCACACCAGCCTGATCTCAAGTCTGGAGTGAGGTGTGGAAAGCTAGTCTCAGCTTGAGGAGTTTGCACTTGGGCTCAGAGCTCTGAAGAATGCATCAGACAAGGGTCTCATATTGCAATGTTCAACACCTCTGGCCATAAAAGAAATGCAAATCAAAACAACATTGAGACTCTACCTCACCCCAGTTAGAATGACCATTATCAAGAAAATTAACAATAACAGATGCTGATGGCCAAAAGGGCCATTTTTATTGTTGATGGGCATGGAAAGCAGTATGGAGGTTCCTCAAAAGACTAAATACAAAGCTTCCACATGACCCACTCCTGGGCATTTACCCAGTAGACCACAAACAAAGCCGCACTAAAGCCACCAGCACAACCAAAGTTCATCACAACATTACCATAGCCAACATATGGAATCAACCCAGATTCCCCTCATTCGACAAATGTGATACCTATACACAAAGAAATTCTTTGCTTTCATCAGAATAATATACCATTCATAAGGAAATGGAAAGACTTGGAAAAAATTAAGGTAAGTAAACCAGACCCAAAGAAACTTAGGTTGCATGGTTTCCCTCATTGGTTGTAACTAGAATGTGCCTATAAATCTACATGTAAACACACTGGATGGCAAAAGACCAAAAAAATACACTTGGACATGATAAATTATACAGGACTCTAGACATTCACATAGTGGGACAAAAGGAAGATATTATTAGATCACAAAGGCTCAATAACTATGTGCACATGATCGTATAAAGTGATGTTATAAAAATTAACTCCAAGAAATGGAAACAAGAGGTTGTTATTTTGCCTTTTGTTAGTTTTCCTCTGTTGTCACTGTTTTTGTTTTCTGTACCTTTCATATGTAAATTTATCTGCTTTAAGGAGGTCAAGGGGGAACATAGAAATGGTAGGACAAAGTATGAACAAATATAGCAGTGATACTAGACACTTTGTTAAAATGAACTGCACATCTTGGCTGGGGGAATTGGGAGGGAAAAACTGGCAGAAAGGGAGGGAAGAGTTGACACCGTTCAAAAAGAAATGTAGCTGAGCCACCAGGTGGCTCACGCCTGTAATCCTAGCTATGTAGGAGGCTGAGATCTGAGGATCCTAGTTCAAAGCCAGCCCAGGCAGGAAAGGCTGTGAGACTCATTTCCAATTAAACACCAGAAAATGGAAGTGGTGCTGTGGTTCAAGTGGTATAGTGCTCACCTTGAGGGGAAGAGCTCAGAGAAAGTGCCCAGGCCCAGAGTTCAAGCCCCATGACAGACCAAAAAAAAAAAAAGTACACATTATCTGATATATGTAATTCTAACCCCTCTGTACATCACCTTTATAATAACAATTTAAAAAAAAAACAACCAAAAAAACCTTTCTCTGGGTTCAGGTAGCTCATGCCTATAATCCTAGCTACTCAGGAGGCTGAGATCTGAGGACTTTGGCTCAAAGCCAGCTGGGGCAGACCTTTATTCCCAGTTAAAATCTGGAAGTAGAGCTGTAGCTCAAAGTGGTAGAGTGCTAGCTTTGAGTGAAAAAGCTCAGGGACAGCACCCAAGCCCCATGACTGACAAAAAAAAGATGTCTCTATCAGTCACTGCTGATCTGATGTTCAAGTACAGTAAGCCTGTAGCCAGCTTTCTTATGCTGTTATTCTCTGTAGTTTCCTTCCTTTGGCCAAGAGCTTGCTGTACATAAGGTCATCTGGACAAGATACCCTGACCCGGCCATGGGGACAGGAACCCTAACTGTGGAGATGGATGAGGCTCATAGAAAGCCAGAGGAGGGGAGCCTTAAGTCCTATAGGCAACTTGGGTCTTGACTATAGCTGCTCCATCCTCCTCATGATCATGCCATGGTCAATTTAGTGTTTTGTTGTTTTTATTTGCAAGTCCTGGGACTTGAGTGCTGTTCCTGAGCTTCTTTTGCTCAAGGCTAGCACTCTACCACTTGAGCTACAGCTCCACTTCCAGCTTTTTCTGAGTGGTTTATTTGAGATGGGAGTCTCACTGACTTTCCTGCCGGGCTGGCTTTGAGCCATGATCCTCAGATCTCAGCCTCCTTTGTAGCTAGAATTATATGTGTGAGCCACCAGTGCCCCGCACTTTAGTTTTTATAACCAAAAGCCTGAGACTAGAATTGCTTAACCATCGATGCATCAAAGACAGATTTACTTTTTGGTTGTAGCAGATTCATGTGTGCTAGTGTAACTGGTTAAGAAAGCTCAACCTACAGTTTTGTGACAGATGTTTTATTTATAGGGAATTAAAATTTCAGCATATACATGACACAAACATATGTAGTGTACTTTCCATGATAGAAGTTACGATACTGTTCACAGAAAGGCCTTGAAGGAAATGAAGGAAATTACATAATGCATATGCTAAAATGGTACAGCTGGGGAGACGGGGTAACCCAGTGGCCTTTTGTTTATTTTTGTTTAAATAATCTCTGGATGCATTCAAGTAATACTGATCATTTAATGTTCAAAAAGCTTTTTAATAAACAAATTCAGAGTAAAATTAGTTGAAATATTAATAATATGATTTAATTGGTACACAGTATTTTCAATATACAATCAAGATGATGCACAACACATAAAAGAAAAAGAAAGTAAAGGAAAGAAAAGTTGATTGCACCCACACGTTAAAAGGCTTTTGTTTTGGGGAAGCTGCGGTTCAGTATTTATATAACATTTACACACTGTAGTAAACACAGAGTCCTATATGTAGTGCAGCATTAGGGGTAAAGATTCTCTCAGATCTCAGAAATGGACGTCAAGTGTCTATGTGGCTACATCGTGTTACATGCGCTTGGGCTGATTTTCCTGTCATCACCCCGCTCACTCTGATCCTGGGTGGGCAGTCAGTCTCTCCACCCACTTCCCACACACTTAAAAGACTGCGATTTCTCAGACACATCAGACATTCTGCAATCTAAAAGCAGCACTCTGCCTGCTTGCTCAACCTCTTCTTGCTTCCATGATGGTACGTCACCCTCTTAGTGTCCTGTCAGATAATCTTGGGTCGAATCTGAAGCAAACGAATCCGCATCCTCATTGTCCGAGTCATCGCTGCTGTCGTCAGCAGCCGGCTCGCCCGTGAGGGCTATACGAGCGTAGTCGTCTGTGTCTATGGATTTGCAGAAATGGATGGCATATTTCAACTTCTCCTCAAGCACCTGTTTACAGGAATACCGGGGCAACTTCAGCAAAAAGAAGCAAGTGTATGATTCCGGAAGGAAGTGATCGGGTGGGTTGTATTTATCCAGCACCTGTTGAGGGAGAATATTAAATAATGGGAGACTGTGTCGCGCAATAGGTATAACTTCAGTTCTATTTTATTATGTTCAGTTGATACTAACAAGAAAAAAATCATGTAATCGAATAACAAGGTAGCGGAGAGCACAGAATGTAGCCAATTTGAAAATTAACAAAGAGCACCTAGTTCCTAGGATTTTCAGTAAAAATTAGTAATTAGTTATGGGGATAACAAAATGCTATTCATGCATTCCAATAGAATGGTCCCAGCATCCCTTGCTAACACAGATGGCAGCCCCACTTGCTTGTCGCAGGCCCTACAGTGGGGCGGGAAGGGCCTCGTACGCAGCACTCCCCCACCTTGGGGAAGCTCTCTGGAAGTCCAACAGTCCTCCTTCAGTCACTTCAGATTAAGAGATTAGGAAGCAGTACGAACTATGGACGAAATCTAGGAATTACTACTTTTTAAGAAAACCTATATGCATTCTCAAGGATGTCCTTGAAAGACCAATCCTTTTCTCCCTGGCCAGAGGTGTGGGTCAGGCTGGGCGAGGCCTCCCTGGGCATCCAGGTTGATCAGAAGGCAACTGTTTCTCACCACTGGACCAGGAAGTTACAAAACCAATCAAAATCCTCTCCTAGGCCTCATGAATGGTTACGTTTTTCTCAGCAGACTGTTATTTAAGTGATTGACTTGATTCAACCAAAGAATCAGACAGATGTTTTCCATGGTGTGTGTTTCAAACCTAGAACAGGCTGACGTAAGAGCAGTATGTACTGATGATGGGCAGATACTTAGATCCAGGATCATAAAACTGAGCCTTCAAACCTGAGGGGCTGGGTGTTCTCTCTTTTCATTTCCATAAAGATCAATCTGCTGCAGGATTGTGTGCCAGGGGCACATCACCTCAGCTGATGCTAGCAAGACGTTAGCCTGCTGAGCCTTACCTGAATAACAAAGTCTCTGCCCCGGAAGTCAGCAATGGTCCTGGGCAACCTTGTCCGGCCCCACACAAAGCGAAGGAAGAGGGAGCGCTCTGTGTTGGAGAAAGACTCCATTACCTCCCAGAACCACTGGATTAGGGACGCGGAGGGCTCGATTCCTTTGTAGGTTGCCACTGACTTTAGAAGATGCAGTGGGATGTCTGGGCTGCCACATACCTGTGGGAAGAAAAGTAGGAGGGCTGGCTGAGCATTTCCCCTCACAGCGTCCGTACTACATCCTGCTTTGGGTCCCAGGTGGACCCTAGTGCAACCCTCAAGCTCAGCCTCGTGTGGGGGTGAAGAGGGCACACACACCTTAAGGGTGTTTTCGCTCCATTCCACGTGCATGGGTCTGAGATTTCTAAATACAAGATTTTAAGGAGGAAATCAACCAGGGATACTGATCAGAAGGCTGGCACAGGGCGGGGCCTGCATACCATTGTCTCTAGTTCGTATCCAGTGAACAGAGAAAGAAGGGGCACGGGCACCACGCGGGCCATCCCTTCCCGGACGGCAGCCACCTGCTCATCAAATTCATGGAGTCTGGAAGAAAACAATTTACTTTAGACTTCTTTCTTTGGTGGTGTTGACTTTTGTTCTCCACACAGTATGGCCATCACAGGGTGCCCAGCCCGGAAGGATGGAGAGAGAGAGGCAACAAATCCATGTTCTTTACGGAGAGAAACGACTCCAAAGCTTTACATAATACTGAGCTCACCTAAACTGGCATGCCAAAAATGACGCAACCTAGCTACTCTGCACATACCAAGACTCAAATCTCAGCAATCGTAGCAAACCCAGGAAGGAGCCAGAATCTGACATTGCAGCATCAAAAGTGAACAGTCTAGCTCAGGCCTAATGCACTACACAAATCTGGGGCAGATGCTGTGCTTACAGTTCTTGAAACTAGTTGAGGCTCTGGAGCAGACCCCACACCCATGAGAACCGCCTGCAACCAGAGTCCAGCAAGCAAAGCCCATCCAACATGCAGGGCCCGGCCTGAACACTTTGCTACCCCCTGGCTGAGCCAGCTGTGGTGCCTTAGACGCATGCTCATTTGGCCCTGCTGGCAGCTGCTTTGTAGTATGCACCTGTCCCAGCCACAGTTCTTAAGAGACCCATCCCCTAAACATCCCCTATTCTAGTGAGACTCAGAAAATCCATGTACAAGAAACACTCAGACATCTGGTCACAAAATACGCTTCATGACCACAGAAAGATCATAATGGGAGCTAGAACCATTAGCATCTTTCCCTCTGGGGGGAAAAAAACCCAAATAAATTATCTAAACAATGACTTTTGCTATTTATAAAGGCAAAGCATTTGAGGCAGATGAGCACAGACCTGTAATTGATTGCCAGGCGGACATACTCTGCACGGTTGTCCAGGGTGATATGTGTGTGCTTGGAGCTGAGCTGGATGTCCTGGCCGCTGGCACTTGGGACAGTGAAAGGCAGGCTCATGGCCTCGAACTCCTCAGAGGTGGCTTCGTTGTCACGGATGTACATGAGCCCAGGAATAAAGTCTTTATCAACCTGTCAAGAAGGAAAGGAGTCCGTGTGATGGATCAAGGGTTGTTTCTGAATCACAGACCCCAGTCCACCGCCAGCACCCTCAGTCACAGGATGCAAGTGTACATGTGCACCAACGCATAAAAGATGGCTACACAACAAAGCATTTCTTCATCACCCAAGAAGCTGGAGAAAGGACTTAGGTGAACAAAAGATCTTCGCCTTAACTGCTGAGAAACAGCTGTAACTGATGAGGGATGGCTGCTTCTCTAAGCCAGGGAAGGGGATGAAAGGCAGAGAGGGCCTGGCTGGGGTTGCCCCATCAGGCCCCTTTCTGCCAGCCCACGGCACTGCCTGGCTTCCCCCACAAGCTCCTGCACAGAGAGCACAGCGAGCCTCCTTTTCCTGCAAGAATACCACCAACTGGATGGAGGTCAAGTTCTAGAGGCCAACTGGAGACCTCTCTTCATGCCTGGCAGGGGCTCAGAGGTTAACAGCCCAGTAGAGCCGGAGCAGGCTGTGCCTCTCAACCCTTGCCACCCCTGCCCGACAGTCCAGGCGAGTCACCTCACTGAGGTCTGCGATGGTGAGGCTCATCCCAGCCAGCTGCTTCCACACAGGCTCGGCGAGGTTGAGGCTCAGGGGACTTCCGGTTCGGATGGCAATGCCCAGCAACACTCCTGATCATTCCAATCACAGGGACAGAGGGGCTTAGGACAGATGGCAAACTTCTCAGGTTCATTCAAACAAGCCATGAGGTTAGCATTACCCAAACTCTCAGGTCTGAATCTACCATTAAACAGTGTGCCCCAAGCCAGGCGCCGGTGGCTCACACCTGTAATCTGAGCTACTTAGAAGGTTGAGATCTGAGGATCATGGTTCAAAACCAGCCCAGGCAGGAAAGTCTGGGAGACTCTTATCTCTGATGAACCCCCAGAACCACAAGTAGGGTTGTGGCTCAAAGTAGAAGAGTGTTAGCCTTGAGGGAAGGAGCTCAGGGACTGTGCTCAGGCCCTGAGTTCAAGCCCCATGACTGACTAACCCAAAACAAAAATTATTTTCATTGGTAAAGGTGCTAAAAGTAGGTATTTCTAACATCTACTACCATCTCCAGACAATACACTGAGAGCAGATACTAAGCTAACTTTCGAACTGCTAGTGCAGTGACAGACAACTGAGAAGACCCACCCAGGAAGCGGAACATGCTGCAGTGCACGGGGGCCCTGGCGGCCGGGTTTAGCAGGTAGCAGTCTCGGTTGGCTCCAGATTCGTCCCTTCCGTTTGGAGTCACGATCAGAAGTGGAGTGAGTCCATTCTGCAGCTCCTCACAGATCTCCGCTATGGACTCACTGTAGCCACCCCCGCAGTCATCCACAGATTCACCTGCGGGAACAGAGCGAGCAAACTCCCAAGCTGTCCTCGCTTGTCTGTGGGGATAGCGCTCTGGCAGCTAAGCTGTGCTGGCTCCCTGGCACTTGTGGCTCCTGTGTCTCTCTGCCCAGCCCCTCCCAGGAGCCACAGATTCACCAGTGTGTGGCCAGTTCTCACCCACAAACTTGACTTTCCACACGCGGTGAGGGAGGAGGAGGCTGTCGGGACTGAAGGAGCTCATCTTTGCACACATCTGCCCAAAGACAGACTTGGTACCATCGGGGCCTGCTAAGCCGCCTTTGCTCCTGGAGCGCTTGACCTAGACAGGAGAAAGAACAAAGAGCATGAGACAGCTGTGGTGGTACAAGGCATATTCCACCCATCACCTGCGACACACACACAGCAGGCCCAGGGCTGGTCGAGGCTGAATAAGCACGCTTCCAAGCAGTCACGTGCACCGTGACCCCTGATCACGTGGGGTGTGGGCAGCCGTGTTGCAACTGTGACAACTCTGCCTTGATATGGACCTTCTTATCTTATAGCCCGAGTGACGTCACCATCTTCACCGCCACTCACTTCTTCACTACATCATCATAACCTCAAAGGAACAAGACCCTGGGACCACCAAAACCCATCCTCCTTGAGGACTCGTCCCTGTGGTGCCTCCTGCAGTTTCTGGCCCGGACTGTGTTTTGGAGGCACTTCGGAAGCTTAGCCTCAAGATGATGAATGACAACTTGAAAAGTTGGAAAAAAAAATGTTTCTAAGACTGTATTTTAGGGCAGGGATGTAGTAGTAAGAGAGCTCATTTAGCATATGCTTAAGGCCATGGGTTCAAATCCCCAGTACTTTTGTAGCTTTTTTTTTTCTTTCAGAGCTGAGGACTGAACTCAGGGCCTTACGCTTACCAAGCAGGCGCTTTTCCACTGAGCTAAACCCCCAGCCCCAAACCCCCAGTATTTTTATGCTGAGTCTTCCAGGAAAAGTCCTCACTATCTGTAACTCACTTTAGGTGAGTTCTAGGTTGAACTTAAAGCAGCAAATTCTCCTTGGAATTAAGACTAACAAGAAAAAGAAGCCAGGCACCAGTAGCTTAAGCCTGTAATCCTACTGACTTGGGAGGTGGAGATGAGGAGGATGTCAATTCAAAGCCAGCCTGGACATACACCTAGGACATGAATTGGTAGCAGGACACTGAGACAGACCACCTCTCATTCTAGCTGTGTGGGACATGTGAATAGGTGGATCATGGTCTAGATATATGCTGAAGTTCTTTTTAAAAAATAATGAAGGCAAAAAAGGTGGAAGGGCTGGATGCTGGTGGTTTATGCCTATAAACCTAGCTATTCAAGAGGCTGAGATCTGAGGATCATGGTTCGAAGCCAGGAAAGCCTGTGAGACTCTTATCATCAATAAACTACTAGGAAAGAGCCTGAAGTGGCAATGTGGCTCAAGTGGTAGAGTGCTAGCCTTGAACACAAAGAGGCTCAAGGAGAGTACCCAGGCTCAGAGTTCAAGCCCCAGGATCTGCAAAAAAAAAAAAAAAAAAGAAAGTTCAGGCCGTGACAGTTTGCATACCTGCCAGCCTTGCCACAGATGTGCACATCCAGGACAGAAATGCTATATAGTCACTCTGGTTCAGAGCTGGTATCCTGTGTTCACCTTGGATTCACCAAATGTTCCCCTACTCCGTGTTAGTTTGGGTCAAAAAAGACTTGTGTGGAGCATTTTCTAGCCTCAGGAGAGGACACAATGTCCTGAGCATTGTGCCGTGAGACACTTGGCTGCGGAGGCTGAGGACACAGCTGTACCACAGCAGCCCATTTGTTAATCCTCACTGTACACTGGCTGAGCAGAGATTCCCTGCCTCTTTTCTTTTTCTTTCTTTTAAAGAACCTACTCTGTTTGCTATCTACCTAATTCTTTCTTTCCCAAAAGGGTGTTGAGCATTTTTTGTAATGCACAGCTAGGGGTATAAAGGCAAGTTGAAAATCTAGGATGAGAGAGAGAGACAGGAGCAGTGTGGAAAGCAGTGTGGTTATCCGGGAACTCCAGGCTCTCAGCAGACAGGCTTCACTGGTGCCCTCCAGGCCTGGATACTCCAGTGAGAGCCCCGACTGCACGGAGCCTGCGTGTCTTTGTGGGGCAGGTATCTGGTCCAGAAACAGTCAGTCACTGTGCATTCCTTAACTTAGAACTTTGCTCTGTCTCCCCAAATGACGCAGAGCAAACCGAGATGACCGTGTAAGGTGGGGAAATAAAAGCTTTTTTTTTTGAATGAACCTACTAAACAGCCCATTTATTTGTGGAACTGGCTGACTAACTTGCAGCCTGGAATTCAGATGCTCTGACGTTCATTGGTGGAGAAAGCAGTCCCACCCATGTGGTCACATGGAATGTCCAACAAAGCACAAGAGTTTGATGTCTTGATTCAAAATGCCCCCAAGTACAATTTCTAAAAAAACCTCTAGTCATGTAATCCACATCAGGGCAAAAATCATGTGTTAATACAAAGGTTTGGGAACAAACGATTTGTTCTTCATGGCTGTTTCCGATCCAAGAGGCATCTGAGAGGCGCGGCCAATTTCACTCATGTATTTTAAAGGTCAAGTGTCACACATTATCATAATCACCGGCCAGGACTTTTCTTTAATTAAATTCTTAAGATGGTAAGTTTTTGGAAGAGTCGGCAGCGGTATCAATTCCTTCCTTCTGTGAGCATATTGGATATTCCGAGGTATTAAGCTAGAAAACTTCCAGAACCAGAGAGGGTACAGCCTACTGTCTGCACTTAAGCTAAGGTGGCAACTTAAGATGCACTATAGACAGCCCTGAAAAAATCCTCACCAAAGGGATCTCCCGAGTAACGATGTGGGAGATACATATACTTCATTCAGAGGGGAAAGCAGCGAGTAACAGAACACAAGGCTCCAGCTTTCCTTCTAACACACCCACACTCCCTCCAGAGAGGACATAGTACTTATCGCTATGTGCTGTACTTGAAAGCCAGGAAGGCTCAGTCTTCCGGATCTGAGTCTGGGCAGGTGGTTCACTAGCCCCTAACCCTCCTTCCAACTGCCTTTTCCCTCAACGTTGACTCTGCTCACTGGGCAGCCAGAAATATGTGGCTTGATTTCATTTTTTTCCTTTTTTGCATCTTTTTCTTTGTTTTTTTTTTTGGGGGGGGTATCTGGAATAAATTTTTCTTTCATTTGAAAGAGAAACACTTAACTGGGCATCTGTGGTTCACACTTATAATCCTAACTACTGAGGAGGCTGAGATCCAAGGATCAAGGTTCAAAGCCAGCCTGGGCAGGCAAGTTTGTGAGACTCTGTCCTCCAATAAATGACTCAGAAGAAGCTGGAAGTGGTGCTATGGCTAAAATGGTGTAACACTAGACGAGCAAAAAGAAGCATTGGGACAGTGCCCAGGCCGCCGTGAGTTCAAGGCCCAGGACTTGCAAAAAAAGAAAAACAAATGTTGAATGCCTGAATGCCTTAGCATCAAAGAACTTCACATCCAGGAAACATCACACACAGGATGGTGTGCTCTTTAAGCATGGACTCACAAAGGCCCGCTGCAAGGATACCTCCCCTCAGACTGCAGCGACATGTTTTATACCCTGAAAAATAAAAGCATCTCTAAGACCATGTCACAGGTACGTGCTGTGTGTTACCTGGATACGGTTCAGCTCCACCACAGGACCGTGTTGACGATCTCGCACCATGGTGGCTTGCACTACTTTCCGGAATGCTGCCTCCTAAAACACGTCAGACAAAATTTAGAATCTAAAGTAGAAAGCGTCGTGCGTGAAGAAATGATGTCATTATTGCTTAATATTCTCTGTTCCTCAAAGTCAGACTTCTTGAAACAGAAAACTGTTAATTCTCCTTGTTTCAGTTGCAAAGTACCAGGGGACCAGTTTGGCTGGAGAGGCCAGGCCTTTTAGAAGACCAAGGCAAAGACAGAGCAGCGAGGAGGGGAGGGAGGGGGTGTGGCCAACACCTGCTCCCATTCTGGTCTCTGTTAAAAGCCTTGTGAGAAGCAGCATCAGGTCACAGCAGCACAGGTGAGGACAGCTGTGGGACCGCCAGGGACATACCAGCAAGAATACCATCAGGGCAGGGACTTTCCATGGTTGTAGGAATCAGTGGCCACCCAGAGCAGCGGGAGCAGGGCTCTTGTCTGCATCCCTCAGGGACCCAGGAAGCTGGAGCGGAAGTAAAACTAACAGAGGCCTATGGCAGCAGGCTCAGATACTTCCTGCCCTGGGTCCTGGCCAAAAAGAGCTAGTTACAGTGCAAAAGAGTTTTAACACTGGGGACCAACCAGAGGCCCTGCTCTGGCAGCCAAGGGGTTAGGGCTGGATTCTGATTCAGGTTACCCTTTGTTGTTGCTCTAGTTGTCAAAGGCCCAGAGTCAACTCTTCATGCCCACTGATGTCCACTGTCACTGCTTGTGAATACACAAATACCCCACTGAGGGCCTGTACTAACTGAAGAAGCTTCATACTGACTCATGATTTCTAGCTAGTTCTATCTGGGTAGAACAGGAAGACCCCAGCCAGATGGTTGGACTACTGTGATACCTGAACCTCTTTCTAAATCATCTCATCAAGCTGCTCACGCACCAGAAGCTTAACCGCTTCTAGTGGCAGGGCTTCCCTTTCCTCTTTTTCTCTGGCAGTACTGGGATTTGAATTCAGGATCTCATGCTTACTGCTCTACTACTTGAGTCGTGCCCTTAGCCCTTTTTATCAAACAGGGTTTTGTACCTATTCCTGGGTTGCCTCTAATCTTCCTGTCTTCACTTATGGCCCAGCTGGGATGACAAATGTGCATCACCACATTTAGCTTTTATATAGGCTGATATGAACTTTTTGCCTAGTAGGCCTTGAACTATTATTTTTCTAAATCTTGCCTCTTGAGTAGTTAAGATTACTTCCATATTGGCAGGAAATGTTTAATTTCTTACTCAGACATTTTATTTCTAAAGGAACTCTAAATTACTAAAAATGTCTATGGGTTAAAACCAGTCTGGCTAATTTCAGATGTCCTCATTCCTAATTCAGCTCCTACCCTTGTGAAATGATCTGCAGAGCTAGGTTTGGTGGCTCATGTCTCTAATTCCAGTTCCTTGGCAGGCAGAGATCAGAGAGGATAGCTGTTTTGAGACCAGGCCATGCAAAAAGGTAGCAAGACCCCATCTCACTAGATAAGCTGGGTAGCTGGGCATGCGGATGGGGGTTTGTGATTCTAGCCACAAGAAAGGCTGTAGGTAGATAGATCACAGTCTCAACACAGCCCCAGGAAGAAACGTAAGACCACACCTAAAAAATAACTAAAGCAAAGAAGTTCAAGTGGAAGAATGCCTTCGTGGTAATGTGAGGCTGAATCCACACCCACTGCCAGCGTGGGGGAAAAATCATTTCACAATACCAGCCACTGAGCTTCTAAGCTACCTCAAATAACTCTTAGCTCCCTCCGGTGGACATCTCTGGGAGAAGACATCACAATTTTTCCTTCTTGTATTGATGGGAAATTTGCGCTAAAAACTCATGGCCAAGCATGCTGAGAACTGCTGTGTGAACAAAAACTCAGCTTTATGGATTGCATGTGACCCGTCTATTCTTTTAGGGAGACGGAAGAAAGAGATTGCAAAGGGAAAATGCATCACAATACTATTATGTTTTCAGACAAACTCCAAACGGGAAGAGATTTTTGTCTAGTTTTTCATTGATAGATTTTAATACACAGTAACACAGGCTGGCACACAGCTGCGTGACTTGAGTTCTACAGTCTACATTCCTGGTATAGGGATTTTTGTGGAGCTAAAAGTGACCACTGTGCCCCAGATCTCTAAAAAGTACCTTTCCCTGAGATATCAGGATCCCTCGGAGTGTGTCAAAACCAACAGAAGGCCCAAGTCCAGTTTCGTCAAGAGAGCCCTCCAGGTCAAACATGGGGATGCAGGGGCAGAAGAGCTCGGAGATGTGGTGCAGCAGCAGCAGCCGGTTCCTCAAGGAGATGATGGGGATCTCCTGCAGGTGGTTATACTCCATGGGGACCTGCAACGTCGAAACTGGGGAGTCAATTTTGGTGTCAAAGGCACATGCAGGCCAGTTTCTAAATGGAGTTTTGTCTGTTTTGCCCATCGTGGGGCTTGAACTCGGGGCCTATCCCCTGAGATCTTTTTGCTCAAGGGTAATGTTCTACCACTTTGAGCCACAGTTCCACTTCCAGTTAACTGGTGGTGAATTGGAGTCTCATAGACTTTCCTGCCCAGTGTGGCTTTGAACAGTGATCCTCAGATCTCAGCCTCCTGAATAGCTAGGATTACAAGCACGAGCCACCAGTGCCTGGCTCCAAATGGATTTTTTTTCTTCCATCCATTTTTAAAAATTTCTTTATTGAGATTAAGTAATTACATAAACTTCATAATATTGTGGGATAGTGCTATTTAGCTAAAGTCACAAACATATTTTAACCTTCACAAGGTGAATTGTCATTATCATGGTCTATAAAGCTTATGAACTTGATTCTTTTTAAACAGACGCATTAGCATTTCTGAGTTGAAAAATCTCACTGTGTCTTTTCTAGGATAAGGTTCTGAATAGTTTGAGACCAATAATGTAAACTAAAGAGAATGCTAAAAATATCAAGTCTACATATTTACTGTGAAAAATACAGGGCATGTTATTATGAGAATCGTTTGGTGTTTATATGACAAAGAAGGCAAGCCATCGAGATACTCAGGTTTGGTTAGCTGGCTTGAGTATTAAGATTTTGTTTTTCTCTGGTGCTAAGGCTGGAACCCAGGGATTTATACGTGCTAGGCAAGCATTCTTCTACTGAGCTATGCCTTCAGCTCGGTATTAAGGCTCTACAAGCAGTTTTTAGATTGTAAACTGAATTACTTTGAATGAGGCTGTGTGTGGCTGCACACTCGTGATTAAATACACAGACAGTCACTGTCACAGGCATCCCTCTCCCCATGTTACTTGCTGTCCTGACCAGTACTGACCTGTGCAGGGAGCTTGCCAGCGCTGGCTGGTTTGCTGGTTGACCAGGCAAGGGTATGTGCCGAGCCGCAGGCCACACGGTTGACCTTCTTACCCTGAAGGGCAGCTACCAATCGAGGTCTCTGGATGGCGTTGGTGGTCCCATCTCCTAGCTGTCCCTCGTCATTGTCACCCCATGTATAAACTTCGCCTAAAGGAAGGGAATTTGGAGTAAAAACATGAATACCAGGACAGGTGAATGTTTTCCCATCACAACAGCAATATGCACTACCTTTCTTTGTGTTCGTGTTCTCCTCTCTGAAAATCAACTTCTTGTGTGACCCAGAAGGGAATACACATCCAAAAAAGCTGACTCGCCCTCCACAGCCCATGTGGGGTCATACCTTTTCTAGTGGGAGGCACTCGGCCCTGATCTTAAGTATCCAGCCTTAGTTTATAGGACTAGATGTGCAACTGCAGCAGCTCTCAATCAGAACAAGTATCGATGAATCAGATGGAAATACCCCTAACAATCCCATCGGCTATGACATGGTACATAGAGGGAAAAACTTTTTTTTTAAAATGAACAAAAATCTCAGTGTTTATGGAGTATAGATATTCATATCCTACACATAACATTATTTATACAAATTATACTTCTCAGTTTACCGTGTTGGGATTCCAACTATAAAATATTACTATAAAAATATTCTAAGGTCACTCACCGGTGCCTAGCATAGAAATAAGCTTTACGCTCTCTAGAGATAAGGTTCGTTCTGTTGTGTCTACAGAACCTCCGTAAGGTATCGCACCACCAGTGAGCACTGTTCTGTAAAGCACACTGCCTGCAGGACACACAGTGCTGTGCTGTGTACTCCTTCCTGCTCTCAACACGCCAGTCCTAAAGCATTAGGTGGATGAGACGCAAAGGTATTGTTGCAAAGAGGTGTGGGGAAGGGTCTCAGTTGGGAGTGACCGAGCCTTCACCCAGAGGGTGGCTCAGCACGTGTATAGGCGGGGTGAAGACTCACACAGGGGAGATTACGCAGGGAATGATGGGATGTGAGGTACATAAGAAAGAGCAGTCCAACCATGACATGAGGGATAGTGAGACCCAGGTTTCTCCACTAGAGGAATGACTTCTAAGTGTGGAAAAAGAGAAAAATCAGAATGAGCTCCATAGTAATAAACCAGAACGAAGGGTCGTGGTGTGACATCATGGTTTTCAACATATATCAACAGACAAAGAAATAAGCATAAACTGTAAATCTGAGTATTGTGTAGATGCATATTCTCTGTCAACCAATGCCTGGGGAGCAGAGACCCTCTAACTGTCATGAGCACATGTATCACCTAGATCTTCTAAATACCATTTCCCCTCTAGAGACACCTGGGCTCCTTGGGAAAATGTTCAATTCTAGGCTTGGGGCGTAGAAAGGATGAGATGAAGCTGGACTGTCTTGTGCTAGAAGAAGAATGTAATCATGACAGGTGTACATCATGACATAACGCCAAACAGAAAACAATCTGAGGATCGAAAGATTTACACTTCTATAAGCTCATTTATAAATGTTCGATTTAAGCCAGGCGCCGGTGGCTCACGCCTGTAATCCTAGCTACTCAGGAGGCTGAGATGTGAGGATCACGGTTCGAAGCTGGCCCGGGCAGGAAAGTCTGTGAGACTCTTATCTTCTATAAACCACTAGAAAACCGGAAGTGGCATTGAAGCTCAAATGGTAGAATGCTCACCTTGAGCTGAAGAGCACAGGGACAGTGCCCAGGCCCAGAGTTCAAGCCCCACGACCGACAAAATAAAAAAAAAAAGGAAAAAAGTTTGATTTATACTTATATAAGTCTTAACAGGTAGGCTAATGGTTAGAATACTATGTATTTAGTTCAAAACTGTACAGCCTTTTTTGTTCCTATGAGGACACCTTGCTCAGAAGCCCAACAGATGGACTTGCAGGACCTTGCACAAGCCCCCAGAGCAGCAGTGCTAACTTGAGAAGCCTTATTACATGTATGGCCTTGCACGGTCCGGTCTGCCATGTCAGGCATCCCACCTACCGTCCTCTGTGCAGCACACACAGTGCAGGGAGCCGGTGGCAATGGCAATAACTTTCTTCCCCTGCAGCCCCTGGACCTGCCGTGGTCTCCGCACGTGATCGTCAGATCCATGGCCCAGCCTGTGATAGTCACCTTTGCCCCTGCAAAGAAGAAGGATGGGATACACCAGGCCAAGGTCATCTCCTGTCTACCCTTCCACCCTCTTGGTGCCAGCTTTATACAGCAGGATGCAAATCACAGCCCGCCGTAACTGTCACATTCCAGTCGATGAGAAGGCACAGTTCCAAATTAAAGGTCTGGTGTGGGTGAGATTAAACAGGATCCTGCGTACCATGTATAAACAGCTCCAGATTTGGTAAGGGCGACAGAAAACTGAGATCCACATTCCACTTTAACTACTCCAAGGCCAGTGAGAGAATCAATCTGCAAGGAGGGGGGGTGGAGGGCGGAGAGGGAAGGTTCAATTAGACTCCATCAAAGTCACTGCTGACTGTTGCAACCATTTTGACTGAACTAAATCTACTAAGAATTCTGGAAATCTGTACCTGTGTAGAATATTTAGGACAACTTAAGCCCACCTCTACTTAACCAAAGAGCTCCCAGGAAGCAAGCAGAAGGAGCATCTGATGGGGTAGCAGACGGGCTGACATGGGTAACCGCAGGACCCAGCACACATCACCAGTCAGGGGACACTTACCTGGGCTAGACCTCATCCCCTACCAACCCCCTCTCCAGGCCCATAGAGAGGCAGCATTGGACAACAGAGGAGGGATAGCTAGGAGTAACTAAGTCCTGTCTCTCTACTCAGGTCATCTAATTGGTAGTCTTGTGACGTACCCCTCCCTGTACCTGCACATCTAGGGTTTAGGACCCTCCTCATTCAGCACCCCAGGGTCCCCTTGGATTTCACTTACCCGGTCCTCGTTTCTCCTTACCCAGCAAACTGCTCACTACCTCTGTGAATGTTCTCACACTTAAGTCCCCATATTTCAGTATAAATGTAAACTAACCTTTCATTTGCTTAGCTAGGGTCATTTCTGGCCCTGTCACAATGGCATAGGCATTATTCTCTAACCTTTCCACGCTTTAGCATCCTAATAAAGTTCAAAGCCTTTGACTAAAGCTGCCTTAAAGTCCACAATAGAACATTTTTCATAAAGGTGAAACCTCTCCTGCAATATATGATGTGGTTAAAATAATGTATACTCGTATGGGACAAAGAGCTAGAAATAATGAAAAGGGAGACAGCCCTAAGTCAGCAGATCAATATGACTAAGGGAATAAATTATTATTGCTGCTGCTGTTGTTGGTGGTGGTCGTGAGGCTTGAAACTCAGGGCCTGCGCACTGTCTGGGTTTTTTCACTCAAGGTTAATGCTCTACCACTTTGAGCCAGAGTGCCACTTCCAGTTTTCTGGTGGTTAATTGGAGATAAGAATCTCACAGACATTTTTTTTCCTGGGCTGGCTTTGAACCATGATCCTCCAATCTCAGCCTCCTGAGTAGGTAGGATCAAGGTGTGAGCCATTGGTGCCCGGCTGGGATTAGTTTATCTAATTTTAGCTGATTCAAGCTGCTACTTTCTGGGTAGCACCCTAGAGGCAAGAAGCCTATGTGGTTGGGCCAAGGCCCTTTCTCTGTCTGAGAGACCTGGGCACATGCCACCTGGTGAGTCAGCTGCAGGTGTATCTGTATGCTGTGTCACTCTCTGTTCTGTACTTGAATTCTCCAAGCCCAAGAAGGGAGGAAGCTGAGAACAGACAGGATCTAGCTTTCATTTACAGTATCTATGTCCCAAGTCCACACATAGAACCTGAACTACTCCACACTTTGGGCAACCAACACCTACAGTTTAGTAGGCCCAAGACCTAAATAACTGATTCCCTGGGCATCTACTAACCATCCACTGACAAAGGCAAAAGTCAGTCTGGTGACTCCTTTCCTGCAGAGCAACCTTGCCAACTCAGTACCGCGTGGCCTCTGCGTTTGACTTCTCACAGAATCAGTCCTTTCAGCAAGCTCTAGTATATGTGCCATCTAAGCTGAAGTGAGGGGAATTATGAGCTATCTCGCTCCTCCAATGTGTCTATATACAAAATGAAACCACAGGCTCTTTGGAGCCTTGTTTGGATTATATCCAGCCCCGAGAGGCTTACAAAGAGCACTTTAAATATCTTAATGCCTTGGACCCATATTCACTTTGTGCTCAATTCCCTCATGTATTTTTCTTTTTTCCTTTTTATCATCAGTTGTGGGGTTTGAACTATGGGCCTGGGTGGCTGTCCCTGAGCTATTTTTAGCTCAAGGTGAACACTCTACCACTTGAGCCACAGTGCCACTTCTGGTTTTCTGGTGGTTCATGGGCGATAAGCCTCACGGACTTTCCTGCTTGAGCTGGCTTTGAACCGCCATCCTCAGATCTCAGCCTCCTGAGTAGCTAGGATTTACAGGGTGAGCCACCAGCGCCTGGCTCCAGTGTATTTTCTGTAAGAAGGTAAACGGGAGCCTACGATGATCCTGAGAAGCACCGTGGGGACAGCAGTGGTAGGGCAGGAGATACCTTCATGGGCACTTTGCAGCCATCACTGCCTCCTCTACCCAGCTTGCCATAGTCCCCATCTCCCCAGGACCAGACGGTGTCGTCATCGGTGAGGCAGAGCGTCTGGGCGTCACCACTGCCACAGGCAATGTCTACCACACGGTGGCCCTGAAGTACTTCCACCTTCAGAAAAAGGGGACACAGAGGTTAGCCAACCACACACAAAGAGAAGAATTTACAATGCCACCATTTTTTTTTTTTTTTTTTTGGGTTGGTTGTGGGGTTTGAACTTAAGGCCTGGGCGCTGTCCCTGAGCTCTTTTGCTCAAGGCTAGTGCTCTACTACTTTGAGCCACAGCATCACTTCTGGTTTTCTGGTGGTTCATTGGAGATATCAGTCTCACAGACTTTCCTGCTTGGGCTGGCTTTGAACCATGATCTTCAGATCTCAGCCTCCTGAGTAGCTACGATTACAGGCGTGAGCCACTAGCACCCGGCTCCAATATGTTTTTATATGAGTGTTTGAAACTTTTACCAGGAATGAGCAATTTTAATACAACTAAACAGCAAACAGTTGGCCTCTACCAAACTATATCGTATCCTCACTTTATTCATGGATTTATTACCTGTGGTTTTGACCATGCATGGTCTAAATAAACCCTAAAGCAAAATTTTTCATTCTTACACATACTTGACAGAACTCCACATACTTGAAGCGGCTCTTAGACTCAAGGTACTGTTAGTTTTGCTTAGTTTTGTGTGCTCTGTGGAGTGTTTTCCTTTTAGGGAAAAATATTCCCCCAAAAAACAAGGTGAAAGTTACTGTGCATCATTTAAGCGACAAAGTGAGAAGTTTAGATCTGCTGAGCGGAAGCACATGCTTGGTGGAAGCTGAATGGTGTCATGTGAAGCCGTACAGTACTGCACACTACGCATCCTGAGCAGCCATGGTTGACTTCTTCCACAGCCATCTTCTTGGAACCATATATCCATGGGTACCAAGGGTCTACTGTATAAATCTCAACTACAGGAAGCATTCTGTTGAGCCAATTCTACACCTCCATGCTGTTCACGCCATCTTTTGAAAGGAAATGTATACACCGATATACTTTTTTGAAATTTCTATCACAAAGAAAATGGACTTGAAAAAAAGCCAATGGTCATCGGTCTTAAGATGAAAGAGAATATAGAGGATGGGGAAGGTATTTGGTATTTCAAAACGGTAACGACCATGGCCAAGTGCCCCCATGCCCAATCCAGGGTTAAGGAGTGAGCAGTGTGGTCTTCGGCTTGGGCCTGGGTCTTTGAATGTGGCACCTTCTCACCAGCTTTGGCTTTAACTGGTCCTCACTGTCACTGTGGCCCAGGCGGCCGTACCGGCCTTTGCCCCATGTGTAGAGGTCTCCAGCTGCTGTGACGCACGCGCTATGGGCTCCGCCAGCAGCAACGTCAACCACTTCAATTCCTCTCAGAGACTCAATGACACGAGGGCGGTCACACGGACTATAAGAAAAGACACCAAATGTAACTGAAACACACTTTTATTTCTGAATATTTTAACACCTACTGAATACCACTTATTCAGGAGGTACCTATCAACAAACGCGTGATCAAACGCTTTAAGTCAGTAAGGAACCGAGGTCAACGTTTCACAATCTCCTACTTATCTCTCTTTACACAGGAGCCCTGACTGCCAGAGTACACATTTCATACTTCCAAATCGGAGGCAGAAGGGGTGAATGGGCTGAGAATAAGTTTAACGGTTTTACAGGTTAAAAGAGAAATCATGTACCCACTTTGCTACAAATTAGCTGTGTTTTCTATTTCCTCTATTTCCCTCTACCCTCTAACCTAATCTATCTACCCTGGCATAATTTTTTTCCCTTATGTTTCTTTTATTCAGGTTTAAGATTCTTAAATCTGTAGAGTTTTAAATTTATAGTATTTTTGCTTTTGTTGTTTTCTCCTTTCCTTTCCTCTTCCATCCCTCCCTCTCTCCACTCTTTTTTCTACTTCCAGCATTTGTGGTTGCTAGGTTGCTCTACTGATGAGCCATGCCCCCAATCCTGTTTTTGACCACTTATTTTTAGGATAGGGTCTCAACTTCCCTCTCTGGTGTGTGCCTAGACTATGATCCATCTACTTTAGGCTTCTCATAGCTGTGCCCGCATCCAGCTTCCATCGATGGAGGAGTTTTGTGGACTTTACTGCCTGGGCTGGTCCCAATCCTCCACATCTGTCTCTCATGTAGCGTGGCATGATAGCTGTATGCCACTGAGCCCATTGATGGACTGAGAAGGGGGTCTCATGAATTATTCTGACTGGGCTAGCCTCAAACCATAATCCCTCTGATTTTGGCTTTCACATATTTAGGATTTCAGGTTGGTGTCACTGGTGCCCAGCTGGTTTAGTTTTTAATCAACTTGGAATTCCAACTATTATTTCTTCAAAACTTCTCACAGCCTTCTTTTGTTGATTCCAATTGTACATATGTTAGGCCATGTGAGGTCATTCCAGGGCTCACTAGCGTTCTGTTCACTTGCGTGTTCTTTCTGTGTTCCACGCTGGACAGTTTCTACTGTTGTATCTTCTACTTCACTTATCTTCTCTTCAACAATGTCTGCCCCATATTCTATCCAGTTCATTCTTCATCTCTGATATGATAGTTTTCATCTTTAGCACTTTGATTTGAGCACTTGAGTATCTTCCAAGCTTGAAATGTTTACCACATTTCTTTCCATCTTCTTGAGGATATAACAAGTGTAAAATAATTCTTTCAGTAAAGTTTCAGCTGGCAATCCTATACCTGTGCCATTTCTGGGTCAGTTTCGTTTTTATTTAAGAGCAGAGGACTAAACTCAGGGCCTTGCACTTGTGAGGCAAATGCTCTTCCACTGAGCTAAATCCCCAACCCTGCACGAATTGGTTTTCATCCTCATCTGGGTTATATTTTCCTGCTCTTTTGCATACCTTAAATTTTCAAGTGGATACAGGTCATTGTGAAGTTTACCTTTTACAGGGGCTTGATTTATTTGTGGTCACAAAAATATTCTTTAGCTCTGGCTTCTGAACTGTTATTTATAAACAGCCTAATCATTTCTGATTTTCAGGTGATTAGTAGGATCAAAACAACAACTACAGTATGATGAATTTTTTTCTTTACCATTGGGCACTATTTTGGTAGTTTCCTCCATGTCCTGTGATTTATGAGCTCTCTGGGAGCTCCATCTCCTCCCTAGGTAAGTTGTAGTGACTGTTCCTTATAATCATTTGGGTGGTTTGTCACTTGGCCTAATACACAGGTGACTGTCACATTGGTACTGCAGGACTGAGCTGCTCTCCTTGTGCAGCTCACTTCTTCTCTTGCATTCTGCAAACTCTAGATACCTTCACCTCCCGGACTTTGAGTTCTTTACACTACCCAAGTTTTCCAGGACATGCCTGGATTTCTCCTTATTGTGCAACTGCCTCACAATCGTCTGCAGATAGTTGATTGGCAAATTCATGAACACTACTTTGCTATCCTATGGTAATGTCTTCAGGGCTCTTGACTCCTATGTATTTTTTCCTGGTGATTTTTAAGTTATTTCTAGCATAAGGAAGGCCCCTATTACTCCAGTCAGGCTGGTACTTGCCTAAAACAAACTGGTTCCTTGGTTTAAAAAGCGTTTTCACTTATGTGTGCTTCCTCCTCACTCCTGCTCTTTCCTCTTTAGTTTTAGTATTATGAGTGCTACTCAAATGTGACTTAGTAGATGATATGGGCTGAATGACAGAAGAGGTTACGTACTTATAAATCAAAACCACAGACTTGGATTTTAGCTCCAAATGTAGAAATCATATATATAAACCCACACCGTGACACTGAACTCATTTCTGGCAAACGAGTAATGAGCAGACTATTGTTAACATGGCTCTACAAACCAAAGTGGCGATACAATGTCTTAACACTAGAAGGAAAACAATGCTGGAGTACTGCTTTCACACACTACCTTCTGTTGCCATGTCCCAGCTTCCCATCTTCTGCTTCGCCCCACGAATAAACTTCTCCTTCGGAAGAGAGGGCAAGGCAGTGTTTTCCTCCCGAGTTCACAGCCACTTTCTTAATGAACACGTGCTGAATGGATTCCAGCAGCGTTGGGGTGGATACCGACTCGGTCCCTCCAATCCCTAGTCTGCCACCAGCACCATAGCCTGTGGCATACAACTGCAAAGAGAAAAAGGAATAGTGATGTCAGATTCTCACCCGAATATTCCTGCACTTAATAAAACAACTGAGTACTCTAGACTTTTTATTTATTTTTTACCGTAGAGAAATGAAAGAATTAAAAAAAAACCACAGGAAAGTTTAAGATTTCACATGCTCTTGTTTGCATGAGTGGCTTCCAAATGCCCATGTAAAAGGCTTGGTCCCCAAGATGGCATGATTGGGAGGTGATGGAACTTTGGGAAGGGAGGGGTAATTGGGCAGTGACCTCTGGGTTATTGGTGGCATGTCTCTTTGAAAACAACTGAGGGGCCCTCTTTCCCTCTCTCACTTCTTGGCTTATGTGGTGTGAAGTTTGTTTTACCACATTACGGCCATGTGGCACCTCCACAAGAGGCCCCAAGTAATCTGTGTACTGTGTGTAATTGTGGATGAGGAACCATAGGACTAGGATTTAAATAAGACTTTCTCCTTATGAGTTAATTATCTCAGGTATTTCTTTATATTGATCAGAAGGCAACACACACACACACACACACACACACACACACACACACACACACACAATCAAAGCTCTAAAAAACAAGAGCATGCAATTATTATAAATCCCATATTCACCAACTCTATATTGAAACTAACGTTTTGTCCCTGGAAGTATTCCTTTTTGTTTAGAATACCACCACAATTAATACTGAGATGAACAGACAAGCAAAAAAGATTCAGTTACCAATTTTACATAAAAGCTGACAATATGACTTAAACACCCCACAGGAAAACTATACACATATTTAAATCTTTTAGCTAGGGAGCAAGAAGTAGTACAAAGTACTAATCTTTTCATTCTAAGTGTATAATTGTTTGAGGACACAACACATGGTTGTCATTAATTTGAAGAAAACAAAGATCAGACATCATTTCCAAACACACAGCAAATATCCCTCTTGTAGAATTGAAATGCTACTTTAAACACTTTTGCAATGTGTTCGTGCAATGACACCACAGTACAGAAGAGGCAAGGGTTAAAACAGGAAATGAAAGCCCTAAGGAGGCTTCTCCTGGGAAGGTTTTGCACATGCTGTGGAGACTGGAGACTAGAGGCTCAGAGGAGGTTAGGAAGGAGAGGCTATATAGGGCTCCTCCCTCAATCTGCCTAAAAAGAGAACAAAAAGAAAGTGTCTTTCTTAGTACTGAAGGAGGGGAAGAATATCACCTGGGATTTCTTTTTTTTTAATTTAATTTAATTTTATTTGTGAACATACTGTACAGAGGGGTTACAATTGCATCACCTGGGATTTCTTAACCACAAAAATCAACCTTTTTTTTTTTTTTTTGTGGGTTGTGGGGCTTGAACTCTGGTCCTGGGTGTGGTCCTTCAGCTCTTCAGCTCAAGGCAAGTGCTCCTCCACTTAAACCACAATGCCACTTCCACTTTTCTGGTGGTTTATTGGAGATAAGAGTCTCACAGACATTCCTGCCTGGGCTGGCTTGGGGTGATTCTCAGATCTCATCTTCCTCAGTAGCTAGGATTATAGGTGTGAGCCACTGGCAAAATCAATCTTTTAAGTTGGATTTTATTCTATATTTATGTTAGCAATAGATTGAAATCCTCAGGTGCAAAGTAATTTTATGATGGCTGAGGTTAGTAATGTTCAAATTTATAAATTCTCAATGGACGAGACTTCAAATTAGGACTTGAATAGTTTCTATATGGATTTCTATATAAGTGCTATGGAAAATGATTAGCTCATTTCTTTACAATTATATAATTTGTTTTTCATGGGGCTTGAACTCTGGGCCTAGGCGCTGTCCCTCAGTTCTTTAGCTCAAGGCTAATGCTCTACCATTTGAGCCACAGTGCCACTTCCGGCTTTTTCTGTTTATGTGGTGCTGAGGAATGGAACCCAGGGCCTCATGCATGCAAGGCAAGCACTCTACCACTGAGCCACCTTCCCAACCCTACAATTTTATATTACATAGAGGGAAAGATGACATTGTGAGAACAGGATGTTCAGATACTTAAAAATTATTGAAATTCTAAACTGATCTATCAAACAGCGGATTCTATCAGTGAGAGGGAAATTGGAGAGTTGGAAGCTGAAGCTGAAGAAATGATCTAGCTATGGCAGAGAAACACAAGAAGACGAAACATGAAAGCAGGGGTCAGAAACAGAAAGACAGCAGTCAGATGCTATCTTCCAGGGAATATGGGAGAGACAATATGTAGAAAACAATTAGGCTGAAAAAATTTCAGAATTCTTTAAAAGACCAATAGCTCTCGCTTCTTTGAAGCCTTTAATTCCTGGCAAAAATAAACAAGTAAAGAAATAACAAAAAGGCTGGCTCAAATGAAGAGAATCTAATGAAGAGATATCCAAATAAATCATAATAAAACTAAACCACCAAAGAAAGATCTCATAAGTCACCTTAATCTGACTGTTGATATTTACTGACACATTAGTGACAATGAAAATCAAAAGGCAGAACAATAAAATACAAGCAGAAATATAATTATTAACTGGATTGCCCTCCCTCCCCCTGTACTGGGTTTTGATCTCAGGGACTTGTGCCACTTTCATCCTCTTACCTCTGACTCCTGAGTAGCTGATTATAGTGTAAGTCACCAATTTAGATTGCTTTTGATAGGATACTATTAATTATTTGTCTGGGCTGACCTGGAACCACAATCTCTCTATTTCTACTTTGCCAGTAGATTATAGGCATGAGATTACAGGCATGCATCATCATGCCTAGCCCTGACAATTACGGCTTATCACAGGTCCTTTCTATGTTTTTGTGGTGCCAGGCCTCCAAGGCAACTGCTTATTACCAGGTTTTGTAAGTGAACACATCCACACCTGCTCTTTACAATGTTAGGACCTCTTTCATAGTTGCACAAAGCCCAAACCACTTTTGTGTGTTTTATAGAAAATGTCTGCCAACTCTAACCTTAGCAAAAGGTAAAAATAATTTTAAATACACCCCCCCACACAAGACAAATCACAGAACTATCCAGGAAAAGAATATCACCTCAGAAACTGGATGACAAATCTGGATTGTTTTAAGTTAAAGAGATAGCTACTGCAGTACCAAAACAGAGTAGGCTCATGTAAGACAGAGCACTGCATGAAAAGTATGTCCTCATGAGCATGGAACCCCTCAGATCCCTGGGCTAATTGCAAACCACGATAGATAAATCATCCTGATCAAGAAGTCTTTACCAGAGAAAACAAGCTTGCTTAATATGAGAAAACCCATGAGTGGAATGCGCTATATTAACTCACTAAGGGAGAAAGCATCTGTTCAGAAATATTTCAAAAAACAAATGTCAGACATCAATTCCCGAGCAGAAATAAAAGAGAACTTTCTTAATCAGACAGAGGGTGTGTGGTTAAGTCTTAGTAAGCGCTTCCTCCATGGTCTGACAAGGTCATTTCCAGGACCACGATTCCTGCCTGTTAATTCTGATCCAATTCCACTGAGCAGGCCCAGCTCCCTCTCCACCACCCCATGTACAGATTATGGCTCTCTACAAAGATGAAATGTTTTTAAAACCCTTGAGCTATATTGTAAGAAGATCACTACATACAATGTCAATATGAAAATAATTATTTTTATACATCAGCAGCAGCATTTAATTTTCGGAAGATGGCATTTAAACAGCAAATGAGAAAGAAATACACCTAATGGGGATTAGAGGCAGGGCTCAGTTGGTAGAGTACCAGCCAATGAGCCAAAGTGTCAGGTACCAAGTTCAAATCACAGTCACGGACAAAAAAGAAAAAGAAAGGAATATATATGTCAAAAATTTTAAGACATTTGCATAGAAGGGTAATTTCAAATAAAACTTAAGAGTTATAGTATGTATCTAAAGTTTATAGAGAAATCTTAGAACTGTAATTGTTTCCAGTGATACTGTAAGTATGATTAATCTTGAGACAGTACTTAAGCACACATTCTTACATGTACAAGGATCTAACAACACAACACACCTAGCCATAACCACATCAGTCTTAGTGACAGCATGACACACACAAAGCGCACCTTACCTTGCCATCGGCTGTCACAGCAAAAAGTGTCTGCTCTCCTCCGATCAACTGCACGGGTCTGAGGGTGGCCAGGGCTTCGCATGGAGTGGGAACTTTAACTTTTGCACCCTCGATGCCCCCAAGCTGGCCCCTGTGATTATGCCCCCATCCATAAATGGTTCCACTGCCACCAGCAGAAAGAGTCCAATCATCTGGTCTCCTACAACACACAGCATAAGAATATGTGACACTGGAAAGAATTTTCTTATTTATTTTTTGGGTCCGGTCGTGGGGCTTGAACTCTGGGCCTGGGTGCTGTCCCTCAGCTCTTCAGCTCAAGTCTAGTGCTCTACCACTTGAGCCACAGCACCACTTCCAGCTTTTTTCTTTTTGCTTATGTGGTGCCGAGGAATCGAACCCAGGGCCTCATGCATGCGAGGCAAGCGCTCTACCACTGAGCCACCTTCCCAGCCCTGGAAAGAATTTCATGTGGAGACAGCTAAAGGAACTTACACCTGTAATCCTAGCCACTTGGGAGGTGGAGACTGGGAAGATGAAGCTTCTAGGATAGTTTGAGACTGCTTCAACCATAAAAGATGGTTATAGTGGCATGCACCCTGTCATGCAAGCTACCTTGGAAAGGGTAAATTAAGAGGTCATAGTTCAGGCTGACACAACAATCCAAGATCCTTATTTGAAAAGTTACCTAAAAGAAAAAGATCTGGGCATGTGACTTAAGCCAGACAGCAACTGCCCAGCAAACATGAAGCTGTGAATTCAAATCACAGTACCCTCCTTCCTTTCTTTCCTTTGCTTTTTTTATTTTTGTGACAGTCCTTGAACTCAGGGTCTGAGTGCTGTTCTAATGTTTTGTGCTCAAGGCAGGGCTCTACCACTTGAGCCACAGCTCCACTTCTGGCTTTTTGACTGTTAATTGGAGATAAAAGTCTCATGGACCTTCCTGCCCAGCTGGCTTTGAACAGCAACCCTCAGATCTTGCCTCCTGAGTAGCTATGATTACAGGTGTGTGCCACCAGTGCCTGGCGATTATTGCTTATTTCTGATGTTACCAACCTGTTCATCCACTGCACAAGTTGTTCATCTTGCTCTCTCTTAAAAATGTCATGGCTCTCATGAAGAACATCCATGTTTTCACTGTCTGCCATTAATTCACGAATTTTCTTAGCCACCTAGACAATGAGATTATGAATTGAACACTTGTCAAAAAATAAAAACATGAAATTCTACAGTAAGAAGGCCAGAAGAATCCCTGCATGGAAAATATCAATATTAGCAACATGATTTTTATATTTAGTAAATGAAATCAAGTCTAGATGCTAAGAAATTGTCTAGAAGGCATCACTTTATCTTTACTAAAACAGAACTCATGCAAATTCAGTGTGAGATTACTCACATTCACCTCTGTGCTTCTCTTCCTTGCTGGTATTTCTTAGCAAGAGAAAAATTTCTATGTCTCATTATATTGGTATGTCTTTTACATGACAGCTAAAGTCTGTAAGATCTTTGCAATACCAAAATCAAATGCAAAAAAGAACATGGAATACCTCATCAAGAAACAGACGGGGCAATGGTGATCTTTTGTCCAGAGCCACAGCAACACGGGATGCCATGCAGTATCGTCGGAACCATGCCCACTTGTGTGTCTCGGCACAGCAAGGAAGAGTGTCTAGCTCCAGGTCACACGCAAGGGCTACCAGTACCTTCAGCCACCAAAATTAAACACAAAACGAAATGAAACATAAGGATGCTTAGGAATGCAGCTGCCATTCCACTGTCCCCCACTGTGTGCTGAGTGATGGTGAAGGTGCTACCACTGAAGATCCTTGCTTGGAAGCTCATTACTGCCCTAAAAGTTTCTAGTGATGTACCTATACATAAGACCTCAGACTCAGATCATACAAGCCCTCCAATACCCATGCCCTGCCTCAACAAACAGAAAGACCCATGTATCTCAAAGCATGCTAAGATTTATATAATGGCTCCAGGTAGAAAAGTTTCATGCATCCAGCCATTTCTTGAGATTTTTTTTTTCTTCCTTTACATTCACCTTCAGCAATACCTAATGACTGCTCTCAAAGAAGCTGGGAGTGTGGTAGAGTGCTTGCCTAGCATTCACGAAACCATGGGTTCCATTCCTCAGTACCACATAAACAGAAAAAGCTGGAAGGGATGCTGTGGTTCCAGTGGTAGAGTGCTAACCTTGAGTAAAAAAAGCTCAGGGCCTGAGTACAAGCCCCAGGACTGGCAAACAACGAGTCCTAGAACCCAGCACCTGGTCCATGACAGCATTCAGTGGCTCTTCCAGTCAACCTGCTCTTACTGTCACTTTAAAATAAGTCAAATGTTACCTTGAAGAATGGGCTGTGGAGCAGTTGTTTGCCACCTCTCACAATAGGATCTTCGTATTCAAACTGCCTCTGCAAAGCTTCCGGAAGGCCTTTCACCAAAGCAGCAAGAGCACTGCCTGTAAAACTCTTAAAAACAGTAAACAAGATTGCAGAAATATGAGGTACAGTGGAGCCAAGTTTGTTTCATTCCTGTGCATCAAAAGCTTCATTATGCTGCACCCCCTAAAACTTGCTCACTGACATTATCAAGTTGGAGAAAGGCTAAAAGAATGTGTACACTACAGGAAAAGGTGGGATAAGGGGAGTGGGTAAACCTTAGAAACATCTTGCTTTCTGTATACCCATTCCTACAAACTGTTCCTCTCTGGTGTACAGATCCTGACCATCTCTGCAAATGGGCAGCATCAACAGGAATTGTTGTGCGTGCAACACAATAAAGGGCATGTGCCCAGTCAGACTTGCTTTGAAGACCAATACATTTCTATATTCATAAGGGTCCATACACAGACTGCCCAGTCTAGCCTGAACTTCGTATATGCAGCAACACAAGGAAAAGTCCGGAAGGGACCGAGGCCCCCTTATGCTCAGGTACAATTTTCTAACTCTTCTCAACTGTAATTAAAGCAACATTTTATTCCTACAGTGTCACACTTCTAGAAACCAACTACACTACAACCCTGCATACCAAGGCTCTTGTTTCCCCATCATTTTCTCCCAGCAGCCTGTTTATGTTAATCGACTGCCCAAATTCTGTGGTGAGCAGCCTCCTCAGTCTCTGAAGAGCCCACATCCTGTGGCTGGCGGCTGAAACAAGCAGAAAGGCACTGTCAGCAGTCTGACCACATTCTTCCAGCCCACCCGACAGACGTGACCGCGAAGGCACTCCTTACCCAAGGCACTCAGCTGCGCGCATGCGGCCAGGGAGGCTGCGAGGCGAGGGACAATGCTTCGGTTGGAAGTGAGGTTGAGTCGGAAGTCCAGGAGACACGTCACCAAGTCCATGGATGGGCAGGAGAGGACACAGCGATCGGAGAGGAGGTCCTTAGGGCCTGGGAAAGGGCATGGTCAGTCAGTGTTCCTATCTGAAGGGAAAAAACCACTCCCTGGAGAAACACCTACATGTTTAATAAATCTGCTTGGAGTGCAGCAATGCGAGGGGTGTCACACGAGCCACTACCTTTACACTGATTTTTGTGTGTGTTGCCAGTCCTGGGGCTTGAACTCAGGGCCTGAGCACTATCCCTGTGCTTCTTTTGCTCAAGGCTACAAGTCTACCACTTGTGCAGCAGTGTCACTTTTGGCTTTTTCTGAGTAGTTTGAGGTAAGGGTCTCATGGCCTTTCCTGCCTTGGCTGGCTTCAAATCGAGATCCTCAGCTCTCAGCCTACTGAGTAGTTAGGATTACAGCACCTGGCTACACTGACATTTTGTTGTTGTTGGTCCTGGGGCTTGAACTCTGGGCCTGGGCATTGTCCTTCAGCTCTTCAGCTCAAAGCTAGCGTTCTACCACTTGAGCCACAGCGCTACTTCGTGTTTTCTGGTGGTTAATTGGAGAGAAGCGTCTCACAGACTTTCTTACCCAAGCTAGCTTTGAACTGTGATCCTCAGATCTCAGTCTCCTGAGTAGCTAGGATGACAGGCATGAGCCATGGGCACCGGCTTACACTGACATTTTAACTGCGAATCAGCAGCTCTAGAAACTACAAACACAACAAACGGGATTCCACTCTGGGTGAAGTAAGTGTTGGTTTCCAACAGCTAGATGGGACAAGGGGCTGCTGTAGCCTGACCCTTGCCCTAGAAGGGCCTGTGGCAATGCTTGCTCCTGGCACAGGTTAGGCAGTCCTTCAGTTAGCTAATGAAACGTGTGCATGGTTCCGGCTGCCTAGTGTAACCGGTCTTTGCAGCTCAATGGCTGCAGCTTCTTCCTTACCTGCGGCTGGCATGATGGGATAGACTGTGAAGCGCCAGCCCCAGCCGTTCACAGACCCATCGCTGATGAACTTCCACTTTAGCTCATCTCCAGGGATGCGCAGCTCACTGGACCAGTCTGACCATTCGCGACCTGGAGGAGAAAAAGCATAGCCTGGGCTTTAGTTCATTCCATCCTCCAACCAACCCCAAAAGACTCCTTAGAGAAAAGCAGGCAAAGTCACCGAGACCACAGCTCAGAGAAAATAAGCAGGTTCTTCCAGCTCAAGTTCTGTCAAGTTCAAGCCCACAAGGACACTATGCTTAGTGAGTGTGAATCCATCTATCCTTCTACAGGTGCTCCTTCAACAATCAAACCAAGTACTGGGGAAACTGAGGGTTGGTGGACATTGCCTTGACAGAGGCCAGTCCCAAAGTGGAATGATTACACATACAAGGAAGGATGCAGCGAGAGAGGCCAGAAGGGCCAGCAGCTAGCTCCCAGGAAGGGCTCCAGGGGCTTTTTGGGGACTGTAGGTGATCAAGTGATGGGAGAAAAAGCCCACATTCTCACAAGGCCTATGTGTAGTTCAGCATGTCCAGGAAGAGGCTGTTGTGCAGGGAGAAGCAGAGCAGCCTAGATAGAGCGGCGGGACTGTGCTGTCACAGTGGAGCACTGTATATAACGGCATCTCAGAATAGCCAGAGACCCTTTGTTCTACAGGAGCTGTGGCAGCAGCATAACAATGGCTGGTTGGGCCTTGCATTGGAAGCAAAGAGACCTAGCACATCTAACAACAACACAGGCTGACAGATGCTGGTCACCGTGCCTGAAAAACCCATCTTCACAGTGAATGTACCATATAAGCCAAAGCTTTACACCAACAACTTCAGGTATGCCTGATGAGTAGAGTTCTACTGGGACACAACCACATGCACTCACCGCCATACAGTGTGTGTAAGAGGTTAGGGTAGAGACCACATGCACCCCACAACATCCCAGATGTTTACCACCTGGTCTTTTATAGGGAAAATTTGCCACCCCCTGTTTGAGATGAAAAATTCATAAAAAAAAAAAAAGCCTAAAAGTCTATACCCATGCACACTCCTACACCAACAGTTCTGACACGTCCAGAGCATTTAGCATCTCTAAGATGGGGTCATTAGCGCCCCCACTTGACCACATGGAGCACATCAGCAGAGCAGAAACAGGACTGCACATGGTACCTCTTGTCTACCCCATTCTCTGGCTGCCAGCCAGCTGACTACTCTATGAGCCAAATTTTTAGCTGAAACCTTACAACCCAACAAACAGGCAAGAAAACAAACGAAAAAACCTTTGGAGGCTGGGCGTCTCCCAACAAGGACCAGCTCTCAGGCCACACACACACACAGATAATGTCATAAAGTACTGGGAAGAGGAAAATAAAACCCACTGCATTTCACTGCTAAATAGGTCACAGCTCCTTCCTTAGAGCATGCGCAGAATGAAGCAGCAGCATTCTGTGCTACCAATATTAATGGTTCCATCTGAGAGGCAGCGCTCAACCTCCCTTCCTCACCTGACCGCACAGACACGATCCTATTGACACCGTCCATGACCGTGAGAGGATCGTGGCGCCTCTCTGTGGAGCACTGCCTGTCAAACTCCACCCTGAGGCCTTCTGCACCTGGAGGACAAGCAAGCAGAAAACAGAGTGACCATTCCCCGGAAGCAAGCGAAAGTCATTGTGCTGGGTAGAAACAGTGAGATGAAAGCTATGTTTAGGAAGTAATAAAGAACTGGCTTCTAAATCATGCAACTAAGCCTGACCCCAATTAGAAGAGTATGACTATAGGCTGAAGGGTCAGGAAACACTTCACATGGCCAGTGTATTTCACGATGCACTTCAGTTTGCATTCTGCAACTCCACTCATCAGACAGCTAATGTATGCCATTTGTGAAACACGAGGACCAAAGTTGGGTGGCTGTGGCTCATGCTGTCATCCTAGCTACTCAGGAGGCTGAGATCTGAGGATCAAGGTTCTAAGCCAGCCAAGGCAGGAAAGTCCGTGAGACTCTTATCTCTAATTAACCACCAAAAAGCTGGAAGTAGAGCTGTGGCTCAGGTGGTAGAGTATTAGCCTTAAGCTAAATCTGGAATTTAAGCCCCAAGACAGGCACAACCTCTTTCTACCCCTCTATCCTTCCCACCCCCCCCAAAAAAAGTAAGGATGATGGGTGCTGTAGCTCAAATCTTGAGCCTTCCTCAAAATCCTGTGTTATGGTCTCTAGGATGACACCATTGAGAGATGGTCTAAACCTTTTTTTTTTTGGGTCCGGTCATGGGGCCTGAACTCTGGGCCTGGGCGCTGTCCCTCAGCTCTTCAGCTCAAGGCTAGCGCTCTACCACTTGAGCCACAGTGCCACTTCCAGCTTTTTTCTTTTTGCTTATGTGGTGCTGAGGAATCGAACCCAGGGCCTCAGGCATGCAAGGCAAACCCTCTACCACTGAGCCACCTTCCCAGCGAGAGATGATCTAAACTTTTAAGAGGCAGATGGGTCCTTGTGGTAGATGTTAGCTAAAAGGGGACTGGGGCTGTTCCTGAAAGTGATTGTGTGACTCCAGCTCCTTCCCCTGTGTCTTTGCTTTCTGAGCTACATAATTTTGTTCGCCATACACTACCACCCTATGTGCTAAAGCCAAGGGGCCAATCAGTCTTGCACTGGAATCTCTAAAGCTGTAGGCAAAAGGAAGCTCTCTTTACAAATTGGTAATCTCAAGTCTTTTGTTTTAATGACAGAAAGCTGACTAAGACAAATGGTTTATGGGAACCTCTGATTTGTAGTCATGTTAAATGGAAGTCAAGGGTCATCTAGAGACCCAGGGTGTTAGATTGATGTATGGAATAGGAACTATCATGTGCGATGGAGCACTTAACTTTAAGCTTCTCTAGGTGGTCGGAACTGAACTGAATTGTGGGATACTTGGTATCCACAGACACATAGAGAATTGCTGCTTGTCAGGAAAAGCCACATATTTGTGGCTGGAAATATTCTGAATAGATGAGTAAGTGTTTTCCTTCAGGCTCAAATATCTTTAAGGACTAGCAGAGGGCCATAAGGTAATGCCAGGCAGGAGGCATGGGAGGGAGGGAAGAAGGAGGGCTGACTTCATGCAAGGGTTCAGATCCCATTTTAAGGTTGAAAGAATGCACTAATGGGATGGATGCAGAGGTCAGGCTGTGTCTGTGTAGGGGCTTTGTCTGTTTTGTTTTTTTTTTTTCCTGTGAAGTGAGGGGAATGGAAACAAGACAGAACACAGTGCTGGTATAATAAACCACATAATACCACGACAGGCCTGTGTTGGTCAGAAATTACTGAATTTTGAGTATATTTTGAAAGGTGGGGGAAGGGACAGAGCTTGCTGGCTGAGTAGATAGGAAGTGAGAGAAATAGAAAAGGGGAGGAGGGATATCAATTTTTGTCGTAGGTGACTGAAGGGTAAAAATGCCTTTTTTAAAAAAAATTTCTATCATGAAAGAATAACAACTTAAATTGTTTTAAAAATAATGTTTTCTGAACTCTACCTCATTTTAAAAGTTGTGAACTTTTAGAAAATTAATCACAGGGAAAAATAAAGAAGATAAAGATTTTTTTTTTGAAGATAAAGATCTTAAAGTTAAATGAGATGCCAAATTATTTAAGTAGCAAATAGTACTAAGCAAAACAAAATGAAAGCAGGACCAGCGTACTAAATAATAAAAGCAGGCCAAGTATATCAAAACACAATCAAACTGCCGTCTATCATCTCAAAACAAGTGGAAAGAAAGTAGAAAAATGATATGAGATAGAGAAACCCAACATAATAACATGAGAGGAAACATGAAAACTCAGGAAATAATTACAATTCCAAAATTCCAAAATGAAGACTTAACCACAAAAATCAGAGAATCCAATATGCACAACAGACAAAAGGAAAGATTTTTTAAGAAGAAAACTAACATCTGAGAGAGGAAGTAGCCAACCTTAAATCTAAAAGGGATCCACCACAAATAATCATCAAGTTTCACTAAGAATGAGAACTAAGCAAGGTAACCAAACAATATAAACTGTAATTCACAAAAATGTCCTGAAGAAAAGGTTTGGAGTCAAATTAAAGCCTGATCTGAGCACTTCAAATAACCAACACGAAAATACATTCTGATATTACTGGGAGAAAAAAAAAAGCACACTACTTGTAAGGGGAAAGAAATTAATTACCATAATCGTATTTTCACAGAGGAAGAATGCATGATTCAAAGATTTAGTACCCAGAAAAGCAACCTTTCAGATTGAAAAGACACAGACCCTCATGGAAAAGCCTGACCTCGAGGACTACAGAGGAATCCAGTAGGTGTGTTCAGATACCACAGTGACTGAAGAGGCAGACTAAAGGGTGAGGGGGGAGAAATAAACATAGCAAAACATAAACTGCATGAGAAGCAAAAGAAAGCATAGAGTGGAACAGCCATTCTGCTCTGGTAAATATGGTGTAATTAGGGAAACAAGTTTGAAATTTATTGAAGATATCATGTAACATTTTTTAAAAAATATTTTCGGTGGTCGTATTGAGTTGGCAGTAATTAAATTGTACCCCAAGTCTGCTGCTTGCACAATATTGCCTAAAGCAAATGAACAACTATGAGATACTTTATCATCTCTTGTCTTGGACCTAAGATCTGATATGGAAGAAAAGATTAGATTTAATAGAGCAGATGAAGTAGTCTGGGATTAAATCCATATATACGTCTCCACTCAAGCATTCATGATAAAAATTATCAAAATGATCTCTAGGAATAGAGAAGGTTTTTCTTTTTCTTCTTTGTTGCTATTTCTGTTTTCTTTTCCTTTTGTCTTATTTATTCATTTGTCAGTCTTTGGGAGCATAAGGGGAGGCACAGAACTGGTGGGACAAAGGGTGAACAAATGCAGCAGTGATACTCACTAGACACTGTTGAAAATGAACTATACAACTTATGGGTGGGGATGGGCGGGAAAAACTGAGAGAGGCTGAGGGAAGGGGTGACACTGTTGAAAAAGAAATAAACTCTATCCAACTTATGTAACTGTAGCCCCTCTTTACCTTTACAATAACAAAAAAAACCATAAAAATTGAACTGAAACTTTCAAAGTGTTGACGGGGAATGGACTTGTAATTCTGAAAACTGGTAAAGACAGGAAAGATCAAACTTTTACCTTGCCTTTCTTATGCAGACTCTTCATAGTCAACTAAAAGATGAGAGGAAATATATCTTTATAAAATACTCTCACTAATAATTAAAGAGGTTAATGGTCTTAGTGTTGAGCAATAGAAACTGCTGACTTCACAGAGAAAGACATGAAGGCAGTAGGTGCTTTCTAAGGCTCGTCACCACCAACTTGCCAAAGGGTTGAATTAAGATCTCTGAATTGGGGGCCAATCCACAGAAATGCAGGGCTGTATGCTGGCAGCAGATCCAGGCTGAAGGGAAGCTCAGTAGCTGATGGTCCAAGTGCTTTCACAGGTGAATTGTCGAAAATAGAAAAGAAAGCTGGCACTGCAGGTGCCCACCTACAATCCTAGCTACTCAGGAGTCGGAGATTTGAAGATTGAGACTGGAAACCAGCAAAGACAGAGAAATTCCTGAGACTCTTTTATCTCCAATCAAGGCAACAAAAAAAGCTAGAAATGCAGGTATGTCTCAAGTAGTACAGCACCACCAGCCTTGAGGGAAAAAGCCAAATGAGAGTGGGAGGTCATCTCTCTCTCTCTGACACACACACACACACACACACACACACACACACACACACACGGAAGAAAGACAATGAACATTACATTTAGGCAACGATCCTGTTCAAATGGCTTTACACTGGAATAGCATCTTTTCAGGAGAACACTGGTATACTTCTGGGAGTTGGCACAACATCCTTTAACTCTGATCTTGGTTACAAGGCTATCTACCTGATGATCAATTCTGTAATCCTAATTACTTATAAGGCAGTGATCAGGGGATCATGGTTTGAGGCCAGTCTGGGCAGAAAAGTTCGCGAGACTCCTTCTCAATCAAGGGCTGGACATGGTGGCTTACACCGGTCATCCCAAGTGCACAATGGCTGGGAACAGTGGTGCACATCACTGTCATTCCAGAAACAAAAGGGACTACAAATAAGAAGATCACAGTCCATGCTGGCCAGTGCATAGAGCAAAACCTTCTCCTGAAAATAACCACCATAAAAAGGAACTTGCAGAGTAGATCTAATGGTGTAACTGCTTAGCAAGCGTAGTAAGGTCCTAAGGTTCAAAACTGGTATAATCAAAACAAAACAAGGTGGGAAAGAAGTCTGAAACAATTCTGCCACTTTTTTTTCTTTCCTATAAAACAGAGATTGTTGTTCCATACGGAACTAAATCTTTCTACAAGCAGTATAAGGATTGGACCATGTACCTGGTATCTTCACGGTGCCACTGGTGGAGGTGTCATCGGTGTAGGGGTGGCTGCTCTCCACCACAACGGGCTGTGAGGAAAGCCGGCCACTCTGTGAGTCTGTGGCTACGTCTTCCAATTCAGTGACGCAGAGCTCCAACAACATGTCTGCCACCTGGGGAGGAAACAGGAAGTGACAAGGCTGATGGGCGCCAGCCCTGCTCCTGCTCATTTTGCTCTGGATCAGGGGCAGGATGGAGTTTGGAGAAACTGAGTTGAAATTAGGGCTTGGTTTCTTTACCCATAACAACCAAGACAGAACCAGACTTGGAGAGGAACTGTAAGACTAGAGATAATACATATAAAAGCCATACATGACACATTTAATAAGATGCGAAATGATAAAATGAAACATTTGTGGTGACAATGATGGTGTTTTGTTTTGTTTTTTTTTGTTTTTTTTTGGGTTTGGTCGTGGGGCCTGAACTCTGGGCCTGGGCATTGTCCCTCAGCTCTTCAGCTCAAGGCTAATGCTCTACCACTTGAGCCAAAGCGCCACTTCCGGCTTTCTCTTTTTGTTTATGTGATGCTGAGGAATCGAACCCAGGGCCTCATGCATGCAAGGCAAGCGCTCTACTACTGAGCCACCTTCCCATCCCCAATGATGGTGGTGTTATACCAAGACAAGGTTACTTTCTAGTGAGGGAAGTCTACCACAGGAACAAAAGTATCAAGAGAAGGAACAGGAAGTTGATACGAATTTTGATAAGAAAGGTGGTAAGAATGACCAACAGCCGTGAAAGTACCTACTGTGTTTTTGAGACTGCACAACTCTACTTAAAAGGACTTTATTACCATTTTGCATGGGTAGACCATTTTGAGACCCACAGACACCCATAGGAAGTACTTCAACACTACAGATGCTGTCCCAAGCCCCTGGCACAGTCAGTGCTTAAAAATAAAAGCATGGCTGCCTATAAGTACGAGTACTCAAGGAAGCCCAGAGATATCAGGATTGACCAAGCCTGTCTCTAACATATAAACCTGTACTACCAGGTATTCATATATAAATATTGTGCTATTAGAGCATAAGGAGTTACTTCAATGGAACAACAACAATAACAAAAAGGTCTGAAAATAGCCAGGTGCCAGTTGCTCAGACCTGTAATTTTAGCTACTCTGAGGATGGTGGTTCAAAGCTAGCCTGGGTAGGAAAACCATGAGATTCAGTAACTGGCAAAAAGCCAGAAGTGGAGCAGTGTTTCAAGTGCTAGAATGCCAATTGAGTGTTCAAACCCCAGTCCCAGCACGCAGATACACACACAAGTTTAGGCCCAAATGCAATAGGAATTTAGAGTATGATAAAAGTAGTTTTCATATCATTGGGGGGAAATAGGAGTTATTCCATATACAATGTTAGGCAACTGGTTTGCCATATAGGAAAAGTTAAATCTGAATCATTATTTTAAAAAACCATCAAAATTATCTCAAATATCGAACAAGGTAAAATTCAACATATACTAGAAAGAAATTTAGATAAAGGAACTCTACAAGTCCATAAAGATACAAAGCTGGTTCTAAAAGGGCCAAGGATGTCACTGGGAGAATTGTGACAAGTTTTGTTGTAAAGAAGGGCGTCTAAGCTGGTGCCCTCTGGATGAATCCAGCAAGACATTGTGCAGTAAGAACAGCAGTACCCAGGTGCTGGGGGTTCACCCATGTAATCCTAGTTACACAGGAGGCTGATCTGAGGATGTGAGTTTGAAGCTAGCCTGGCCAGACAAATCTGAAACTATCTCTAACTGAGCACTAAAAAGCCAGCAGTGGAGGTATGGCCCAAGTGATAGCTCCAGCCTTGAGCGAAAGTGCTCAAGTCCCTGAGTTCAAGCCCAAATACTAGCACATGCACACACACACACACAAGAAAGGTGGTGTGTCTCTTGCAGGGAAGGCCCCACCCTCCCCCCACTCACCTGTGGGTAGGCTGTGCCCATGCCAGACAGCACAGCTGAGAGCACATCCCTGCCCCTGTCGCCAGCCCGGCTGCACACCGACAGCTTGAGCAGGTCCACCACCACGCGGGTATCGTCCGTGATCAACAGACTGGTAAACTCATCCAAGGACTGAGGCTCTGGGCCTGATGTTTTATTTTGGCTTTCAACATCCTACAGTAAATGATAATCCGTAATTAAAATGAACAACAACATACTAGGAAATAAGAGATTTCCCAGTTTACCTAGGAACTCAGAGGACTAATTACCACCAATGAGGAAGGGACATGAAAAAAATCAGATTAACTAAGAAATGGCAGGCCCCCTAATAACTCCACCAGGCAATGTGCCAAGTTTTCAAGGCCAATAAACTGGTTACAAAGTACTAACAGTATCTGTCAAAGGGGAATGCCGTAAACTAATTAAAAAAAAAAAAAAGACAGTTCACCACTGTAACCAGTGGTTTGTATCATACACATTATAGGAGGCCTGGAATGAAATTGCACTGTGTAAAACCTTTCTCTTATCAGATATGCTTGGGAATTTTAAATCAGATTTTTATACTAGAATTTCACATAGATCCTGTCCATAATTATTTCCTAGCTTTTATTTAAAGTGATTTCCTTGCATATAATACATCACCTAGAATTTCAGCCTCTTTGGGTTGTTTGGAAACAATAATATATAAAATAAAATCATTGAAAAAATTTCTTAAGCTTGGCACCAGTGACTCACACCCAGAATCCTAGCTACACAGAAGGCTGAGGTATGAGGATCATGGTTCAAAGCTAGCTTAGTCAGGAAAGTCCTTGAGACTCTTACCTCCAATTAATTAAGAAAAAGTCAGAAATAGAGTTGTGGCTCAAGTGCTAGCGTGCTAGCTTTGAACACAAAAATTCAGGGCCAGTGCCTAGGCCCTGAGTTCAATCCCTAGGCCTAGTACGCACGCGCACACACACACAAATATTTTATCTATATCTCTATCTACAGATACATATATGTATATGTATACATATATGTATCTGTAGATAGAGATAGAGATATAGAAGAATTAACTCCATGGTACAGGACTGGTTTGAACTGTCCATGGTTGTTTTCTTTTTTTAATATAGATAAGATGTAGAAAGGGAAAAAATGTTCATGTATGTATACGTCTAGCTGCTGAAAAAAATCTAACCAAAGAAGCCCAGTAATATAATCAGATTACCAAACACCTAGACCTGTGTTTCCAAATCTTGTAACTGATCCACTAAAAGCCTCCAGTGCTCCTTGGAGAAATAACTAATTCAGGAAAAAGGCAAGGTAGGTGCAAGATAAGCCTGGAACACACTATTGTGCCAGAAAGTAGGGAAATATTCAAACATATCCAACTATGGGATCACCTGAAAAAAAAGGAAACAAAGGAAACAGTCCAAAGGATAGTCTGGGATAATTTGGTTGTTATATGATAGTAGCAACAAATACTACTATTTGAATAAAATAAGAATCCATGAATCTGTTACAAATAGAAAAGAAAGTAGATAGAAGACAGACAAAATGAATGAAAAGCAAATTCTTTTTCCCCCCAAAAGAATGGCAATAGTGACATTCCCTAAGAAAGAATCATATTTGAAGAACTATGTGACAACTATCAAAGCAATGCTGGATTCAACTAGAATCATTAATAGATTCTAAATTTTGGCGAGTAAAAGAAGAGTAAGAACAAGATATTTCCGTAGTCTCAAAGTACTTTCTCTTATTAACTTCCACTGAAAAACCTGACAGACTCCTTAACTAAGGGAGAGGAGTTACAGCACCGGAAATGCAGAGTACTGCACACTCTGGATCACTCTGGTGCTGGGTTTGTCAAAATGAAGAATGTTCTTCCATTCTGCACTCTGCATTGAAGATTAATGTGATTGTGGTGGAAATTGGGTGCTAGGAATCTAAAGGGATATTGCTGGGACAATGAGCACCATCTGAATATGTCTCAGTTTCTGATCACTGGTTTCCTGACATTCAAATACATACAGAGGCATGGGAAGGTGACAGAACTTCTAGCCTCACATTCCCACCAATGTTCCAGAAATGCTAACAACCACAGACTTGAGGTGAAAGGCATATGGCATGGACCCTATTCTAATTCTGCACACTATTTCTGTAACTTCTGTGTGTACACGGAAGATTATGTCATAAGGAAAGCTAAAGAAGCATGCCTCCTGACCTCTTTGGTTTTCGTCATGGTTTCTGCAATGATGCTGGCAGCTCCTGGGTCATCTGTCACGGGGATGAAAGGCCGAGAGGAGGCTGAGGGTGCGGACGGGGTCACTGCACAAGGGGTCACAGCATCCTCGGAGGAGACAATCTAATCGGAGGGTGAACCAGAGAAAAAGTTTAAGTGGAAAAGCTCTACAGTGTAACACACTTCCTATACAAATCCAAATGCCTTTTTTAAAGCTTCTTGCAACCATTTGGAATTTTCCAGGGGCCATAGCAGCCATTTTACAGACACATACAATTGTCCTGTGTAGGGCACATTTGCATTTCTAGGAAAACCTATAAATATTCACAGCAGGTCACATGAATCACTTATCTTCAAGTTGGGTTATTCCCTAAACAAGTTACAAAATCTCTGACATCTAGAACTTTAAGGTTTAACAACTGCATCAAATGACTGTTTAAAAGCATAAAGTTATTTTTATCTCGACACTATTAAATTACATTTGAATAGAATATTTTCTAATTTCGGTTCCAAGTCAAAAGTAGCAAATAAGATGGGCACTAGTGGCTCATGCCTGTAATCCTAGCTACTCAGGAGGCTGAGATCTGAGGATCATGGTTTGAAGCCAGCCTGGGCAGGAAAGTCTGTGAGACTCTCATCTCCAATAAGCACGCAGAAAAAGCAAGAAGTGTGGCTCAAGTAGTAGAGCACTAGTCTTGAGCAGAAGCAGCTCAGGAACAACACCCAGGCCCTGAGTTCAAGCCCCAGGACTGGCAAAAAAAAAAAAAAAAAAGAGCAGGCAAAAAAAAAAAAAAAAGCCTAACTTAAAGGACAGCAAACTAAGATCTTCTTAGACACCAAGAAGGACAAAGTAACTTTTCCTTTCTAATTGCTTTAGGATTCATTTTTACCTCTCTCTTATCTTGCCACGGATTTGGACTCAGTCTATCCTCCATATCAGGAGCCAGCATGCTCTCCTCGCCATTCATGGGGCTGCCCATGGCAGATGCATCGGAAGTGGGTGCTGAGGAGGAGAATGAGGGGCATTCCACGGGGGCGAGCATGCTGGCTGGCATCAGAGCCCTGACCACCGCGTCTCTGTGGAACACAAAGCCAAGTCTGTGGTGAGCTGCACTTTGTCCATAGTATGACAGCAAGTTACAAGATGGGACAAACACTCACTGAAGCATATCTTTGTTTTTATAGGATATGTGTAAAAGAATTTTAGTAACATATCTGGACATCATTGCCACGTATTCATTAGATATAACTTAAGATGTCTGTTCCAAATTTTATATATGATCATAATCCATAAAACATTTCAGCCAACAATGGACTGTACATTCAACAGTGATCTACTAGGACTGTATCATCTAACACTGTAGCCAGTACATTCCTTCTGACATTAACACAGTGCATGTCTCAGAATGTAGCCTCATTGGTATTTTAACACTCAGTTTAAAATCAACAGAAACATTAAAGGATATGAGACTACATATCCCAGTTCTATGGTAATACAACATCCTGGGCCACATTTAGTCAATACAATGCAACTACATGCTTACAAAATGGGAGATTTCCAAAATTAGCACGCAGGCCTACCTGGCATACATGATTTGTAAAGCTGTAAGAATATGTGATAAGGCCTGCTGTTTGGCCAGGTTTCCATCCAAGGAGAGAAGGATCTTTGCAAGAGAAGGACGATTTGGCTTAGAATTATTTGCGCCACTTATTTTGTTACTGGAAGCAGAAGAATCAGTGTCGGAAGGCACCCCTGAAACAGGAAAATGAAAACCTAGGTTGTTTTTAAGACCAAAGTTGGCTGCATTTCTGTAGGATCAGATCCTTTACTAAAATACAGTGCAGTATGTGTTTTACCATTTCATAAATACAATATAGTTCATGAATAGGTTTTTTGGGGTTAAGAACATAATACCATCACAATACTTCTATAGAAAGAAAGAATTTTCAGTAAAGGTTAAGTAAAACGACAAAAAAATTGTATATCTTTTTAAAAAATGAATTTACAACAAAAAGAAATGTTCACCATTCAACAGTCTCATCAGACTATGTCTGATACATCCCAGCTTCCAGCCCTGACAATTTCCAGGGGAGGGAACCCAAGGACAGACCAACGATGCTCCTGAGTAGGAGAAACATGATTCATGAAATGGAAAAATCTAGGATTATAAAAACATATTCATCTTTCCCAATCCATTTCAATCCACTACTGATCAAATGCTAAGCAGGCTAGTTAAAAAAAAAAAAGCTGATTCTGTAAGTTACACAGAAATGCAAAAGGCCATAATAGCCCAATCATATATATATATATATATATACACATATATATGAAAAGCACTACTACACTCTGAGACTATGTAAAATATTGGGCAAAATGTGGAGGAACTGAAGTAATCACTATTAAATCTATAGCATTGTTATAATCTACAGAAGGATTACATCAAAGACCAAATCTATAGTACCTAAATAGGAAGCCCCTAATGGGTCTCTTGCAGTCTGGAAGAGGACAGGCTCATGGACAGAGGGTGTGGCTACATCCACTGTTGTCCATGCCACGCTGTGAGAGGACCCACAAGCCACTCGAGTGATCTTCTGGCCTTCTAATCCTTGGACCAGTGTGGGCTTTCTGTTAACTGTGGTTGTGCCATTGCCCTGCTGGCCATGGTCATTGTCACCCCAAGCGTAAACCTGGAGGGAAAAAGACAAACTTATTTTCAACGCTTCAGATTATTTTCTTAAAACTTACTTGAAAAATGCTTAAAAGTCCCTATCGTGGTACGTGGGACGACTGAGCTCTTAAAAAAAAAATCATCTTATAATCTTACAAAGTGACAGGTACACTGTATTCTGAGGAATATTTAACCATGAAAATGTTTACCAATCAAGAAAACAAACAAAGAACAAATGCTGGTGAAGATGTAAGGTGAGGATGCAAATTATTTCAGTCGTTATGGAAATCAGTGTGGAGACTTAAAAAACGAAGAACAAAAAGACTTGAGACTGAAGTACCACAGGATCCTGCAGTACAACTTTGGGGCATATATCCAAAGGAATTCAACTCAACATACCATCAAAATACCTAAACAGCCATGTTCACAGCAGTATGCAAATTCTATTTGGATACTGACATTGTTCACAATATCACAATCATAGAATCAACCAAAGTACATTTCAATCATGAATGGATAAAGAAAATATGGCATATATGTACAATCAAATATTAATCAGCCATAAAGAATGAAATGATGTTACCTACAGAAAAATGAATCATGTTAAAATAAACTAGGCTGAAAAGTGAAATACCATATGTTCTCTCTCATATGCTGAATCTAGCCCTAAAAAGGAAGGACAGGAATACAAAATAGGCTCTGTTTGGGGACAGGTAAAGGAAAGGGTATGGAAGGTAAATATGATGAAGGTATTATATACATCAATAGAAATAAAAATGAAACCTATTGAAATTGTTACAGGGGGATGGATTAGATTGGAATACACTATATACATAGATAGAAACGTATCAGTGAATTAGTGCAACTAATATATGCTAACAAAATGGGAGGAAAAAGAAAATGCTTGTCAACAACTCCAATATTAATATAATTATCAACCCCCACTCAATGATCCATTTTGTTTTATTCCACAATGTAAGGTGGCTCTCCTCTTTAGCTAAGGGCAGTAATTTATTATTTCCTCTATATTACAAAGAAAACTGATAAACTTTAATGTTCATTTTCCAAGTAACTTGTTTCTTAACATCATAGAAATATAAAGTATAGGTAGTTCCAGATTTAAACCAGTGTGCTGTTAATAAAAGACATAAAGGAAAAGATGAACTTAAAAAACAATAAAGCTGGGCCCTGGTGGCTCACACCTGTAATCTTAGCTATTCAGGAGGCTGAGAACTGAGGATCGAGGTTCAAAGCCAGCCAGGGCAGGAAAGGCAGTGAGACTCTTAAAGTCTGCTCAGTAACCCGGAAGTGGTGCTGTGGCTCAAGTGGTAGAATGGTAGTCTTGAGCTCAAGAGCTCAGGGACAGTGCCCAGGCCCAGAGTTCAAGCCCCACGAACAACAAAAAATAAAAAGCATTTGTATATGAATGAAAGACATAAACTTAAAGAAATGAAATTATGCATGAATAAAACAAACTATGTTCATGTGTTTTCAAATATAAATTTTATAATAGGACAACTACGAGCCATTCTGCTCAAAGCAACAAAATAGGCTTATTTATCAGCTTTCTTAATGAAGCATGTATGTTCCTCATCATGTATTAGTTCTCTAATAGAAGATACCATTAATCCTTTAACAGCAGAAGCATCTTCAGTGCTTCTATTTCCATATGGGCTATTGAGTGGGAAAGACTCTTGCCCAAGGACCCCAGCCTCATCTGTGCTGGTGATCGTGCTGATACACTAGTGAGCCTAATGGACACTGTCCCAGCCTATGGCCTGGCAAGTGTTAAGATCTATTTTATTTCATGGAGGGTTTATTTTGCTGTATTATGATTTGAACTCAATGCCTATAGCTTGCTTGCTTAGCCAGTGCTCTATTTAAGCCCATACCTCCAGCTCAGTGTGTGTATGTGTATATGTGTGTGTGTGTGTGTGTGTGTGTGTGTGAAAATACTGGGACTTGAATTCAAGGCCTGAGTGTAATTCCTTAGCTTTTCTGCTCAAAGCTGGAATTTGAGCCACAGTATACTTCTGACTTTTTGGAGATAAGAGTTTTACAGACTTTCCTATCTGGACTGGCTTTGAACCTCAATCCTCAGATCTCCATCTTCTAAGTAGCTAAGATTCCAGGTGTAAACCATCAGTGCCCAGCTTCCTGATTCTCTGGAGATGGAGTCTCTCAGACTTTCCTGCCCGGGCTGGCTTTGAACTGCGATCCTCAGATCTCAGCCTCCTGAGTAGCTAGGATGACAGGCGTGAGTCACTGGCGCCCGGCTTATGCTGGTTATTTTTGAGACAGGCTCTCACTTCTTGCCCAGGTGTGACCTGCCTATTGTAGGATTCCTACCACAGGTGGATGACAGACACATGTCACTATGCCTCTCTTGAGATGGGAGACTTGTGGACTTTTCTATCTAAGCTGGCCTTAGAACTGTGACCCTCCTGTGTGAGCTTTCTGATCTCACCCTCCCACTTTTTTTCTTTTTCTGCTTTAGAGACAGAGTCCTGCTACATAGCACAGGCTGGCCTGGAACATAAAATCCTCTTGTCTCGGCCTCCTGAGTAGTAGGATAACAGGTACATGCCATCAAGTGTAGCCTGAAGGTTACAGCCTTGAAGACAAGGGCAGTGCTGTCACTTCCACTTCAGGAGGACACATTGCCTCCGGGTCATCTGTGCCCTTACCTGCCCTGAGTCTGTGACCGCCAGGCAATGTAGGGCTCCAACAGCCACGTGCACTATCTTCTTCCCTCTCAGCCCTTCCACCACTTGTGGCTTTCGCACATGTACGTCCGATCCATGGCCGAGTCTGAAGTAGTCCCCCTTCCCCCTAGAGGAAGGCAACAGTGCGAGTGTTACTGTAGGTTATAGTATGGCGATGCTCTGCAAAGAAACATTCACTCACATATTTTTTAGAGCCATTTGAAGTAATAGCATCATACAAAGCACTCAATGTCTTTGAGCTTACCTTCCAAAATTACAAATCACACACTCCAATTACCTCATTAATCCAGTTAACAAGATCCTTATTACTGGTGCTTAATACAATATTTAAGTTACTATTTTAGATATTCATGTAAAGAGATTAAAACTAGGTAAAAGAGAAAACTCTCCCACAGTATGCTATTAGTCTTTTTTAACATGCTACGTGTGTGTGTTTAGGTTTTTTTTGTTTTTTTGAACTCAGGGTCTCATGTTCTCACTTGGCTTTCTTGCTCATGGCTGGTGCTCTACCACTTGAGTCATACCTCTAGTATGTTTTTGATATTGTCAAGACATTGCTTTCAGGCCAGGCACACTGTCCAAGGTCTTGGCATCCACACTTGTGTACTTTAATAAAATTAGCTGTCCCAAGAAACATGCCACATTATTTCCAGAACCAAAGGATGCAAACATCTATTTTTATCCTCAGGCTTCTGGTGTAGTGAACAAGCAGAAGAAATTCAATTTTTCCAGATGCTTTTCAAAAATGATCCATTTATGCCGGGTGTTGGTGGCTCATGCCTGTAATCATAGCTACTCAGGAGGATCGTGGTTCAAATCCAATCCAACCTCAGACAGGAAAGTCCCTGAGACTCTTAGCTCCAATTAATCACAGAAAAAGCTGGAAGTGGTGAAGTGGCTCAAGTGGGAGAATGCTAGGCTTGAGCAAAAAGGAGCTAAGGGACAGCGTCCAGGCCCTGAGTTCAAGCACCAGGACTTGCAAAAAAAAAAAAAAAAAGATCCATTTATAATGGGAAGTTTCTTCTTGGAATGCTGTCACTATTCACAACTTAACAAAAAGTTAACTTAGCCCAAGTTAATCAAAGATGCCTGGGTTCATAAGCAGCCCTGAATGAACAGAGAGGAGGGGAGAGGAGGCTCCCGTACATGCTTTGTGGAGCATAAATACACAGGTGACAGTAAGGAAGTTTACATACCACGTCCATACCACTCCTGACTTGGTGAGTGCCAAGGAGAACTGAGCTCCGCATTCGATCTGGCACACGCCCTGGCCATTCAGTCTCTCAATGTTCTGGGGAATGTTACAGCCTTCACTTCCTCCCCGGCCCAGTTTTCCAAAGTCACCATCACCCCAGGAAAACACCAAACCTGGGTTCAAAATAGATTCATACGTTAGGCCAGTGTTTCAGAACATTCCCCCCCACCCAGGAACGTGGGGGCCATTACAAGCACCCACCTTCATCTGTCAGAGCCAGCGTCTGTGCATCTCTACTCCCACAGGCGACCTGGATTACTCTGTGACCAAGAAGGACTTTTACCTACGTGATGACAAATGGGAAGACAGACATCAGGTACGGGCGCTGAGAAAGCCAGGGAAATCTTGCCACAGACTCAAAGAAATAATGCACATGGTCATTAGGAACTTCCCTAGACTTGAGGCTTCTTTTCATTGGAAATCATCACAGGGTAGCATTTCTGTAACCAATACAAAATGTGTCTAATCACCATTTTGGGCTTCAGCTGCGTTGTATTGTCCCCGTGTCCCAAGCGGCCGTACTCTCCGAGGCCCCAGGTGTAGAGCTCCCCACTGGAGGTGAGCGCTGCGCTGTGTGAACTCCCACAGGCAATGTCCCGGATGCGCTTGGTTTTCAGGGCCTCGATCAGCCTTGGCTTGTCACAGTTCCTAAAACAAGATTAAATTACACGTGCTACAACCATTCTTCGGGAAAAGGGTATGGGGGACAGGACAGCTACTCTGATTTCTCTTTAGTCAATGCAACATTTACATATCAATTTAACTATCAAACCTTTAGAGTATGTGAGAAGCCAAATCATATCTCCTCATGTTAATTATTATTATTATTTTTTTGCCAGTCCTGGGGCTTGAACTCAGGGCCTGGGCAATGTCCCTGAGCTTCTTTTGTTCAAGGCTAGCACTCCAACACTTGATCCAAAGTGCTACTTCTGGCTTTTTCTGTTTGTGTGGCAATGAAGAATCGAACCCAGGGCTTCATGCATGCTAGGCAAGCACTCTACCACTAAGCCACATACCCAGCCCTGTAAAAATATATGTAATGATGTTTTCATAAATACTTGTTATTTTAATTTTGACTAGACAACTAGGAAAAGACATTCGCTATTATGAGTAATAAAAAGTTCTTCTCAGTAAGACTGACCAACATGTTCTTTTTTGTTTCCTTGCCAGTCCTGGGGCTTGACCTCAAGGCCTGGGCACTGCTCCTGAGCTTCTTTTGCTCAAGGCTAGCACTCTACCACTTGATCCACAGTGCCATTTCTGGCTTTTTCTGTTTATGTGGTACTGAGGAATTGAACCCAGGGCCTCATGCATTCTAGGCAAGCACTCTACCACTAAGCTACATTCCCAGTCCCTGTACAACATGTTCTTACATTCTGCTGAAGTGTCCGAGTTTTCCATCATCACCTTCTCCCCAGGAGAACACTTTCCCATCGACAGTCAGGGCTGTAGCATGGCGGCCACCTGCAGCATTCACAGAGATAGAGCACAGGCTGCCAAAGGGCAGTGCACAGAGCAGGCTTACAAGCACAACTATCCATTCTTCTTGGCAGGTAACATAGGCTCAATGGACATGTGTTGAACAAATGAGTGCAAAGAACCAATATCTCACTTACTGTGAAGGATTTCTGGTGGCATCTATATAAGATGGGTGAACTAATATAACAAGTTACAAAATACTAGAATCATCTTAGTTAGCTGAGAACAGGAGAAAAGAATACTGATTACTAAGTGGGGTTCCCTTTGTCTTAAATGTATACAAGATCAAAGTTCTTGCCAGGTGCTAGTGGCTCATGCCTATAATCCTAGTTATTCAAAAGGCTGAGATCTGAAGATTGTGGTTACAGCCAGCCCAGGTAGGCAAGTCTGTGAGACTCTTAACTACAATTAACCAGCCCAAACCTGGAAGTGCATCTGCGGCTCAAAGTGGTAGAGAGCCAGCATGAGCAATAAAGAGTTCAGGGACAGCGCCAGGCCCTGAGTTCAAGTCCTATGACCAACCAAAAAAAAAAAAAAAGATCAAAATTCAGATGAAAATACAAACAAAACATTTGTAATTAACTTTTGTGGCTTAAATGGCTTTGGGTAATGCACCTCAGCAATGGAAATAAACAAAAGTATCATCATGGCAATGAAGGCATTATACTATTTTGAAAGGACCTCAACTCACTCTTTCCCACAAAGAAGACTCTGTACTCCATCTATCCTACTTCAGGATCAGTACAACCCCTGATTATACTTAATTCCTGCCAGCTCCTGGGATGCAAGGCTAGTGTGGGAAATAGGGGTCCTTGTATCCAACATTAATTTCTCTTCTTCCCCATATTATCCAGAGCGACATGTGAGCAATCACACTTCCCAGCCACAATAACCACAGGAGGGCAGGAGACCTAGCGTGCAAGACATGGGACCTGGCTCCTGAACTTGAGAGCCAGCATATCTCTTGAACAGAGAAGACACACAGATGCTCTCAGACATTTATGGGGGAGGAGAGGAAAATTCCATCTTACCTACGTAACTATCATGGGCATTACTTATGAAATGGGGTTATGTCTAATTCTACCCAGGACAGGTATGAACTTTGTATATAATTCAGTTTTATTCCTCAAAGGCTTACCACAGGGCTCAAAAGAACATTAAAAAAATCAGCCTTTATTGAAGAAAAAACACATTTTAAATGATCTTTCTCATCACTGAGGTTTCATAGTTGCTTTTGGGAATCTGATGAAGCCAGACTTTTCCCATTGAAAATCAGCACAGAACTTTATGATTTCAGGATACAGTGGCCTGAGATAATGGCTCCAAGACCAAGCACTCCATCTTTTGAGGAGTGTACCCACATGTCAGAGGCCAATCATGCTGGTCTCTAAACATCTTCATTTGGAAGCAATAATGAACCCTAGCTTCAAATATTTACATTATCCAATCTTTCTTCCTGTTAATTAAGAGCTTAAAAAATAGAAGGTAAGAACACTTTGCAAGAGAATATTTTCAGAACTTAGTTGTTTGCAGAGTAGGAATAATGGCTTATGATGCACGTGAGTGTAGACCTTGGATATGTACCTGAGTGAACTGCCACCTTCTTGACCACGTAGCTGCTGAGGGCTGTGATCTGTCGTGGGATGGGGACTGTCCCACTGGACATCCCCAGCCCCAGCCGGCCATTTGTGGCTTCTCCACATGCGTACACCTTCCCTTCCACTGTCACTGTAAGAAACGAAAGCCAGCAGAAGAATTGCTTTCCATGATCTAAAAGCCATCTGGTTATGTGTGCTAAGGATAATTTGTTTTAACAAAAGCATTAACCATACCTGCAAACAAACTTTTGGAACCACCAGCCACCTGTATCACATTCAGAGCAGACAGGGTCTCGGAGAATGAAGGGACCTTTATCTAGAGTTGAATTTTTTTTTTTTTAAAGCAAAGGAAAGAAAAAAAGATCATCTTACTTATACTGTCCAAATATTAAGTAATCTTGTAAGTGGTATGTAAAATTACTGTTAATCTGTGTGGCTACATGAACCATGGGAATGCTTATTTCTTTGATACACATACTGAAGTATTTTGAGGAAAAGAATTTACTTAGGCTTATTTTAAAATAACTACATTTGGGGTGTGGATAGAAGATAAAGATCAAAATGCAGCCAGTTATTGGTAACTGTTGAAATCAGGGATTAATAACCCTACACACGCTCTACCTAGTAACATACAAACATTTTAATCATAAAAGGTGAAGAATAAAATAAATATAGAAAAAATAAACATTAGGTGTGGGAACAGTAATCCTAGCTACTCAGGAGGTACAGATGAGGGGACTGTGGTCCAATGTCAATCTAGGCAAGAAAAAGTTTTGAAACATCAGCTCAGCCGGCGGCTGGGCAAAGTTTGTGCCTGTTATCCTGGTTACTGGGGAAACACAATGGTTGGGATCAAGGGCACATGTCTGACATCCCTGCTCAGCTTCAAAACACTTAAGAACATCTTTAACACATTATGCTCATGGTGAGCAAAAATGCTTACAGTATTCAAGGTGAGGGATAAATCTAATGATAGTGTATCAGTTTCATCTATGCAACTGTCACAACCCTATCAAAAGTTTATTTTCTAGTTTGTCTAGTTGGTTAGAACACAGTATTACAAGTAAATCTAAAATGTACAAGGATAGAGAATTCTCAGGACTTAACTTGATAATGTCTATTCATCCTTTGGAGAATTACTTTGGAAAAGACCACAAATAGGAAGTAAAACTATTATTGAAAACTTTCAAGTGTCTGGCTGCTGCCATGCCTTTTGTGGACCACAGCGGGCAGCAAGCAACCTCCTCAAAGGCAGGGCAGTAGATGTGGGTGGTTCAGCCTGCAGCTGGAGATACCTTAGAGCCTTTGAGCCCGCCCAGCTGGTCCTTGTCATTCAAACCCCACACGAACACTTTCGTTCTGATTGTAGCTGCCGATTCTAGCCCTGCAGTCTTCTTTCGAATAAGGCTAGTGAAAAGAGAAAACAGACAGAAACAAAGGTTATTCATGATCAAACATTTAAAGAGAACAACCTCAAGCAGTTGAAGCTTGCTGGTTATTGTTAGAAACCTTTACAAAAGAATTTTCAATGCAATAAAGTGTTCTAAACGGTCAAAATTTCTAGAAACCAGCAAGCTGTCTTGGAATGCCAGAATTTAATTGTGGCTTTTTATTCTTGGTGGAGATTTTTCTATAACACACTATGCACTCTCTTTCTTCTTAAATACCAAGTCGAATATAATGGCTGTTCTGATGATTTGAAACAATTCTTCCCTGCCTCCAGGGCTGCCACACAAAGGAAATGTTCCAAGGAGCCACTCTAGGACTGGCCTTGTAGCAATAGTTTTGTTGTTGTTGTTTTTTAAAATCTAAACCAGGACATGTGTGTGGTTATTTTGTTCTACAAAAAAAGCATAAAACATGTTGCAGCATGATGTTGGAGGTATTCTGATATAGATGTGAGTTAAAAGAAAAATCTTCTTTTATATTCTCTGCCCATCACACTAGCCAGACCCTGAGTGCTGGCTAGCGAGGCCAGAGGTCCTCTGCTCCTCCCCTTTCTGGCTGGTTAGCACAGTCTCACCTCCTAACCTGTTCTCACTGGATTAGAAGTTTAATCAGCAGCCCAAGAAAGCAGCACTTCAATTCTTGAACTTGAAGCCACAAAGTTCAAGGATAGAATCGTAACTGAAGTATCTTATAAATTAAAAAATGTGGCTGAGAAGTCAGGAGTGATATTCAAAAATATTTAGTAACTAGTACAATGTAAATCAGGTAGAATGTAGTCACATGTATTTTGACTTTTCTTTTTAATTTTTTTTTGGTACTGGGTATTGAACCCACTGAGCCTCATTCCAGCCCAAATCATGTAATTTGAATGGCACCTCTCTTAAGAGACTTTTTGGATAGTCAAGTTACCCTGAAGTTATTAGCTAATTAATGATACCTTACAAGAGCAAAAAGAAAAAATTACATTCAAAGATCTAGATGTTCTTCTGGGAATATACTAAAGAAAAACACGATCAATTAAGTAAACTCTCAAAAATCTACCATCATTTCACATATAATATCTGCATTAATTGTATTTGCCCAACGCATCTCAATGGTTACTAAATCAGAAAATAATCTTGAATTCTTGCTCTGAAATATTTCAACGAAGAGTCTGCCATGGTGGCTCAAGTGTTAATTCTAGCATTCAAGAGGCTGAGGTAGGAACAGCTCAAGTTTGATGCCAGCTTGAGTTCTATAGTAAGATCTGGTCACAAAAAAAAAAAAAGGGCTGGGAAGGTGGCTCAGTGGTAGAGCGCTTGCCTTGCATGCATGAGGCCCTGGGTTTGATTCCTCAGCACCACATAAGCAAAAAGA